TTACCATTCTTCCATAACATGATTTCAATTTGCAGTGATGAAAACTATCAGAAGTATTTCTAGAGAGACCATCTGGATAATATCTAAGTTCTGTCAAAATTGGTAGATCCCAAATTTGACCTTCTGTACATTTGTTTTCTCACATCTGATCTCAAAGCTCACTGAATTTTTTCTGTGTATTCCCCAAACAAATGCTTTTATTATAATAATTATTTAACACATTATTTAATATTCATTTTAATTATAGCCAAATTGTTGGAAACTCTCCCATAACAAACCAGTCAGCTCATGGAATATGTATGTGGAATAAATACAGCCACCCTACTGTTCTTTCCCAATGACAGCTTCCACGAGCTTCAGGATTGCAACTGTAGAAACAGATCTCAATTTCAAGTTTCCAAAAATGCATTATCATTACTAAATCAAGGGAGGCTGAAGAGATTTAAAAATTAAGAAAAATATGTTGATCAGACCTTTTGTAAGTAAAGTTAGACAAGTCTAGTGCAACATCACAAAGTCCATGAAAGCTTAGACTGGGAAAACTAATTTGCCTCCTGTGCATCATGAACATTTAGCAAAATTTCTTCTTATAGCTCCCTTTCCAGTGGTTACAGTAACAGTTCTTCTGTTTCCTATTGTAATAGTTTGTTTCCTTCCACTGCAGGAGCAAAGCTGTAATTGTTTCAGTCTCTGGTTGTAGTCATGTTCTGTTTAGAAGTCTCAGCTTCTGTCAAAAAATAAAATAAAATAAAAGTGTGGCAACCAGTCTATAAAAATGCTGTGGTGAATGGCATTCTAAAATAATAATAATAGACTTTATAGATTATGAGCTCTTCAGAGAAGTAACTGTTTCTTGTGTGTTTGAACAGTGCCTAGAACGTTGCATGTGCTACTAAAATATATGTAATGACAATTTCTCATAGGCTGGAAATCTCAGAAGAACATCCTTTCTGGGCTTCAGCTTCTGGTCTCAGATGAAACCAAGAAGTGCAAAGACCTGAATATGTCAATTTTGACCAAAGCGTGCGCTCTCTTGCTCGCTCTCTCAAAGTATTTAGATCAGATCATATTATTTTCTGCCCTGGTTCACCCTCTCTTGATGAATAATATGAAGAATCCTGGTTTCAGCATCATTTTAACAGGAACGCAGAGACTTCTGCATCAAGGATGCTGCATTCTGTGCTTAGGAGACACAGTGGAAAATTCTGACCTCTGGCTCTGAAGACTTTACTTTCTTCTTTTTCACAGCCCACTGTCTGCCTTTGCCACCTTAAATCCATGTTCTCCAACCACTGAAGTTACAGGAGACTGTTAACTATAAATATGATTTGCCCCCCCATCCCCCGCACAATAGGCCACTTTTTTGGTATGTGGGTAGAAGGAGCAGGAGCCCACAAAGCCGAGAAAGTGAGGAATGTAGAGGGAGGGATCCATTCTAAAACTGTAATGAAAGATGAATCAGGGCTGTATGGCTTTTGAAATGCTTCAAGAAATCAGATGGGTGACGGTAAAGCTACCTATTTACATTGTGTGTGAGTGTGTGTGTATTACACATACACACTCTCTCATTCTCACTTAAATAGGGATAATCCTAATGTGAAGGTGAGCTCTTCCTAAACGCTTCCTTTGCTGCCTTAGCCTTTCAACATCAGGCATCTTCAACTATTTTTGTACAGTATTCCCCGTTATTAACATTCTTGAGGATGTTGTTTCATATTTATCTTTTCTTTTTTTCTGGTTACATCTTCCATCCCCAGTATGGTATGGAGTCAGCTCCTGGGACAGGTTTTATGTGTAATAACACTCTCTGCTAGTAACACATTCCTCTGAATGCTGAAATTGATTTTCCTTCTCTTAATGCATGACTAGCCAGTGCAACGTTTGTCCCAATACCTAATATGTGATGGACCTGACAGCATGGGATGGGAACAGAAACCAGCATGATTAGATTGGACTATATAACGTCATTGGAGGCATTTAATTTGCCACAGATCAAAGTCTGTTTGGGAGGAAAGTGACCAATATTTTTAAAAATTGGATGTCTAAAATTAAGTACAAATATAGGTGGGTAAATAAATGGCTAGATACGCAAAAGTGATGAGCATCCCACTGCCCCATTAATTTAAATGGAACTGGTGGGTACTCAGCACTTTTTTGAAAGTCAGGTGTCTGGTTTAGAAGCCTAACTTTAGGCACCAATTTTTTAAAATGTTGGTCAGTGTCCATGTGTATATGTGTAGGGTCATAGGAATTGCCATAGTGGATTAGACCAGTGGTCAATCTATTCCGATATCCTGTTGTGACATTAAGAACCACGCAAGGGCCACAGGTACCCAGATATCTGGTAATGAATTGCAGCTGGCTTAACCAATTCACATGTACTCCAATTCTTTAATGTAATGAAATATATCTGAGAAGTATCATACAAGGTGTCAATGAAAAGCTCATGACTCACTAGTTATTAATAAAAAGAAAAGGAGTACTTGTGGCACCTTAGAGACTAACCAATTTATTTGAGCATAAGCTTTAGTGAGCTACAGCTCACTCAAATTGGTTAGTCTCTAAGGTGCCACAAGTACTCCTTTTCTTTTTGCAAATACAGACTAACACGGCTGTTACTCTGAAACTAGTTATTAATATTATTACATAATGTAGGTGCAAGCAACCGATGCAAAGTTATGGACGTAAACTGAAATTATAGTTCTTAAAATGTGTTTGCCAGCCAAGACAAAAGAACAGTTGAAGAGGAAAAATTAGTAGCACTCACTCAGCTCCATTTGACCATGCTTGACCAGTTTTTTTCAGCCAAAGTTATTAAGAGCCAACGTTCATCCCACAAACACCAGCCATTAGTAATGGTTACCAGTTCTCCTCTCTGTTGCTTATTAAAGAACCTTGTGGAGCAGCAAGCTTATATAGCTTATATAAGCTTTTACTATATCTATAAATGATATTATTACAGCTTTTATTCATGAAAAGTACATTTTTATGTGACTGACATTGTGGTACACAACGGCACTAAATCTTAGCTAGGAGTTACAATCTAGTTTACAATCTAATGTTGATAACTTGCTATCCTGGCAAAAATGAAATTGGCTTTCTATAGATGAGAACTAGGCCTAATCAGTGATTTATTTATAGTTGAGGGGAGAAAGCCAGGTAAATAGTCCCACTCTGAACACACTCTTCTGAGCCAGGGAACGTATTGTTCTTTTCCTCTCCGTATTTTATTCAACTGGGATTTTTTCAGGTTTTGGCCACATTTAGACATTGCTTGACCATGACAATACCTCCAAGAGTTAGAGGATACAGCATGGTCTAATGAACAGGAAGTACTGGACTAAGCATCTGCTGACTTAAGTTCTATTTCCAAACTTGAGCTTGGGCGAGTTATTTCACCTCTCTGTTTCTGTTTCCCCTCCTACCATTTTTCCATTTTGACTGTAATCTCTTTTGGGAATGGACTTTCTTATTATATGTATGTACAGTGCCTAGCATAATGATCTCAGTTGGGGTCTCTAGGTGCTGCTGTAATACAAACAGTAAATGCATAAACTTAAGGCCAGAAGGGACTATCATGGTCTTCCTGTCTGACCACCTGCACGTGGCAGACCACAGAACCTCATCCACCCTCTCCTGTACTAGACCCATAACCTCTGGCTGAGTTACTGAGGTCCTCAGATTATGATTTAAAGTCTTCAAGTTACAGAGAATCCATCATTTACTCTAGTTCAAACCAGCAAATGCCCCGTACTCTACGCTGCAGAGGAAGCTGATTAAACCCCCAGGGTCTCTGCCAATCTGACCCTGGGGGAAAATTCCTTCCTGACCCCAAATATGGGGATCAGTTAGACCCTGAGCATGTGGGCAAGACCCATTAGCCAGATGCCTGGGAAAGAATTTACTGTAGTAACTCAGAGCCCTCCCCATCTAGTGGCCCATCTCTGGCTGTTTCCTACATGCCATTGTAGGCAATCTTATCATGCCATCCCCTCCATAAACTAACCAAGGTTAGTCTTGAAACCGGTTAGATTTTTTAATAATATAATAATAATAATGCAATAGGGTTTTAAATATTATAATACTGCTCTGTTTATACACATCAACACACAAAGTCGAGCAACAAAATCTTTATGTGGCTAAATAACCATTTTAGGCACCTACTGACTGATTTAGGAGCCTAAATATGGCACCCAATACCTTAAATAGACAGGGTCTCTCTTCAGAGGAGTGATTCAGTATAGTACCCATTTGGGTCCCTGCTGACACGAACAGTTTGGTGAAGTCCAGCCTTGAAGAAGCAAGGCTCACAATAGTTTAAGTGAAAAAATCCACAAGTGTGAACATTTTTTGAAACATGTCTGTTGGAAGTTTTTTAACACACATGCTTGAAATTGTTTTAGTATGTGAAATTCAACTTGTCACTCATATTTAGCATTATGTGCTAAAAATCTCAGCAATGTCTATGTTCTATCCCCAGAATACACTTGAAAATTAGGTGCTTAGATCTCATGGAAATGTATATGCTATAATCAAAGGTCTGAAAGCTAGAAGTGGAGAAATCACCAAACCATTCTCTCTTGCAGTGCTCTCACACAGAGAGACATATACTTTCCATTTGTTTCAACAGTTCAGAAAACCTTTTAGCTTTTACACGGAGGGCCCCAATAAACTCTACACCAGCTTCAAAAAGAGTATTTGTTGAGGCAATGTCAGCTATGGACAGTCTGAAGCCGAGTGTTTTTGCTCGATGAACTCCCATGCATACCAATACTCAGAACACTCTCTTCCAGGTCACAGAGCTAGTCTGGTCTCTGGGAACAAATCAAAAGGCTTGGGAGTTCAAATGAGTTTGGCTTGAAGACTATTTTAGTCATGAAAATGTAATTGCAGACAGACTGCTGAGCTTTTTTTCTTAGGATGTCATCTAAGTATTTCTGAGTTGATATTGGTTAGCTTTTCAGTCATTCTTTGACTAGACTTTTGCTGTTGTCTGACAGGAATTGATGGCCCTGCTGCATTTCAAGATGACATTCAGGAGGTAGGAAGCCAAATTCAGATTCTTACAGTTGGGCAGTCTAGCCACAATGAAGATGATGGAGAGACAATGGCTAGTAGCCAACAAAGCAGGCAGGACCTTAGAGTAACAATGCAGAAAAAGGGTAAGTAGCCAAAGCTACCTACTTATGCTCCTTGTTGTTTGCTCTGTTTTTAGGCTGGCAACTCCTTCTACTCCCAATGGTAGCCTGGTCCTAAACTAAGGCATAGACATGTTTTTTTCACCATTTCACTTGAGGTCCTTCCTTCAGTGAATCATCATCATCCTTCCCTTATTGCTCTGTTGTTTTACCTCCATAATTATAATGGAGTTCCGCATTGGCCCAAGCAGCAAGAGACCTATGTGTACTCTGGGACATGGCTTTCCCATACTTCAGTGCAATGTTGCTGTCAAGGTGGCAGGTGTTAAAGCCCTCATCCATAAATTTTACAATCTGAATTGCAGGATGATAGAAATCACGTACTTAAGCTTTAAAAAAAAGGGTTTGTAATGGCCACATTTTAATTAGAAGGCAGAACATTAAGTGTGGTTGTAGTATCAATTCACAAATTCACATCTTACGTTCATCCTCCTAAAGGTGAAAATGACAGAACTGTATTCTGCGGCACTTCTTGGCAGCATATTTCTCAAATGTTCTGGGTTTTTTTCAAGGACAGCCCTGACTGGGGATGGATGGATGGATTGATTGTGTGTATCTGTCTCTCCCTTTCTGCACCAGAGTTATCTCCCATCAGACAGCAGCTTAGGAGGAAATAAATCCTAAAATCTTCACAATGCTTTTCTGAAGCCTTAATGGCTCTGCTTCTTCAGCATGCAACCTTTGAAGTTAAGATGGCTTTGACCAAAGCTGCTCTACAGAAAGAAACTGGTGCTTCAAAAATATACACATAGTCCACAAAGAGCAAAATTTAAGTGAGAACTTGACTTGTATAGAATAGACTGTTCTAAATGTCAGCTTCATTTTGTAGAGCAGCTCTCACTGAGATTCATTATCTCAAATGCTTCACACTGTGGATGTGAGCGACTCAGCCTGAAATGAACACATTTCCTCCACGTGTGAAGTTTCCTGGGTATTTGGATATGAGAGAGACTGATTTGAATAACAAGTTCCCTGCGTATTGGTTGCCCCTTAAATGCATGGCTCAAAATGTTTATAAGCCAGTCACCTTGCTCACAAAAGTTGTTTGATTTAGAAATTATAAATACAGCTGGGTGAGAACAACATTTTCTGTTTCCTGGAAAGTTCTGCGAGTTAGAAAAAAAAATCTGTTCCAAAATGGAAGGAAAACAAAAAACTTTGAAATTTGCTATGAAACCAAATTCCAAACAAAATATTTCATTTTGAAAAAAATCAAAACTTTTTTCAGATTTTGACATTTTGTTTACATTTATAATATAAAATAAAATAAATTTCAAATAAAAATAATTTTGAAATGAAAAATAGAAATGGTTCATTCTGAAAATGTCAGAATAGAATGTTTAAATTTTTTCATATTTTCCTTGAAAGGAGATTTTGTCAAAATAGCAATTTTTCTGCAAAACTTTTTGCTTTTGATAAATCAACATTTCCTGAGGGAAAATGTTGTCTTAGGAAATTTCTGACCAGCTCTAATTATAAACCGATTTTTAAGTTAGATCAAACCACTGGGGTTTATTATTTTGGGGTGGTCTCTTTTTTTATATTAAAAACTGTTAAAACAAGCATACTTGATGGACAGTAAAGGTATGTCTACCCTGCACACTTCTTATGGAGCCATGCAGCGTACATACCCAAATAGCGCCCCCTAGCATGGGTATAAATAGCAGTGTGGCTGATGAGGCCTGGCTTAGGTGAGTAGCTTAAAGGCATGCCAGTAGGGTGTGGGCATATAGGCAAGTACATACCCTACATGTTTTCTACTCACCCAAGTCATGTCTCTCCATCTATTTTTAGCAGTGTAGTGTCCTGTGTTGCTGGAGCCTTTCTCCTCCTCAGGAAGTTTCCCCCAATGGGGGAAGGCTCTGGCAGAAGGGAAGCAGCAGGGAAAGAGTTCAGCATCTCCCCACTGTGGAATCTTTCCCCGTTGCTGGGAAAGACTGGCAGCAGGAAAAGGCTGTCCTCTCCCTGCAGCTGGAGACTTTCCCATCTCTCTCCCCTCTGGCAGGCTGTTTGTAAGTACACAAACCCTACACACTGCCACCAGTGGTTTGTACAGTACACGTAGTCTAACTGTTTATGTGGGGGACGTTTTAAATGAAAGCACTGGTATTTAGCTTCATGACTCTTGTTAAGGTTAGTGGAGCACGCCATGCCCTTTGTGGGTACAAAGCACCAATAAGCTGGTTTTAACTAGTAGAGGTTCCATGGGATATTCCTGTTGGATGATGGGGTTTGCCATCCCATGGAGTGAGAAGGGGGCTTGTCAGCTAGCTTTTCTCACCCTTGGGTGTCCCAAGAACCATGGGGACATTTGTTTAGGAGCTGAGGCTTTCAGGTGCAGGCCCAATGCTTCTTCCCTGGTCCCTGGACCATCTCACTGCCATGTCACCATGAATCTAAGGGAACCTTGAGAGTAGCTGCCCATAAGCCACCTTCAATTTGTTTATGGGTGAGGAAGGGGAAAGCCACGTAAAGGCAATGCTGATGGTAGGAAAGGTCATGCTGATTGTCATTAGAATTGCTTAGTCCTGATTTGAATCCATTCTGCTGTTTGACAGGAACTTTGTGGTGAGTGTCCAATATTAACAGATGCCTGTCTCCACAGGGAGCGTCCAACATGTCTGTTTCAGTTAGGAGAAGATAGGTTATAGAATACATTAGTGCACAAGCAATATTCTCCTTGCAAGGAAATGCCAAATGTTTTTTTTGATTTCCCCATCTGCTGGAAATTGCCACAACTAGAATAATTCTCTTCCTGCGGGAAATATTCCGGCCTTTTGATTTCAGTATTTTTAACATTGAGCCTTCCTTGTCAGTGAATGAATCACAAGGACAGACACACACTTCCTCAGGTTTTAGCAAAAATCAGATGAAAATCTAACATTTAGTTACACATTTATCAGTTTCATTAATGTCATTGTGACCGTAGCAGTCTAGATAGTTGTAATTTTTCATTGCCAGCTGGAGGTAAAATTGCTGTTGCTTTGAGATTTAGAGAAGGAATAGATCTGTGTAATACTTCAAGCAGCAAACAAAATTGCTTTCTGGGAACAAAGCTGAAACAGGAGCTTCTTTAAAGCATTCTTAGGGTGTTTCCAAAAGATGCTTAGAACCAGTTTGTTAAACATTGGCAAACATTTGCTGGTGATTACACCAGCAAAATCTGACTCATGCACGATGGGTGTAAATGCATACCTAAATAAAGTAACTGTTAAAGCTACTGCATATTAGTGTGCTCAACTCCCTGCTTTTTTATGCACCAGTGCCCATTTGGGACATGGAATGCTGAGGTTGCCCTCACAAATGCTGGATATAATTTGCATGCCAGTATCTGAAAAATTCTTTTTCCCCCCTATCCCAGAGCATCTTTGCAGACACTGAGAACACAGTACAGCATTGTCTTTCATCCTGTTCTTCACTTATTCCTTCACTAAACCCAGCCTGATCATGTCCCTGAGTATGTCCTTCTGTCTAATTGGTTGTGTTTGCATTATTTTCATTAGCATCCTATCATTTGTTTGTCACCTGCAGCATCCCCATCATTGTAATCTTTTCAGTTGTAGCCAATCCTGTACCCTGATTTGACATCTTACTCTCTTCCTAACCTCTTCAATCGTCTTTAAATCATTTCACTTTATACCTGCTGTCTTTCATCTTTGCTGCCACCAGCCTTCTGATCTCTGTTTCATTTAATGCAACTGCTTCCAGGCCACAGAATAATACTGGTAGTACACTGATTTGATAAATTTTCCCTTTGATACCGGTTGTAATGTTTTTAACAGTCCATAATTCCATCAGTTTCTGTGCAGCACTTGTGGCTAAGGCACATCTCCTTTTATCTTCACCCTTGATGGCGCAATTGGCACTGATCAAGCTTCTTAGGTACACATAAGATTCTACTTGTTCTATGACTTTGCTGAGTCTGCATTTCAGCACATTCTCTTTTGTCCCTTTCCAAGATTCACCCACTTCATCTTTTGGCATTTATTATAACTCCAAGTTGACTACACCAATTTTCCAAGGTAGCAAAGGATGTTATTATTCATTCAAATGTGTCTGCCTGTTGTCATCCACATAAGCTTAGGAGCTTAACTTCAGATCATTCAATGGTATGCCCTCCAAATCGTCTAATGTTCTTAATATCCAGTTGTAGAAAAGTGTCTGTAATTCCATGGCCCCAGTTTGAAAAATTGGCTCTTGTTAAATAGCTTTTAAGGCTCTCAATGGGAGTCAAAGAATGAAGAGAGGGGCACATAATCACATTCTCTTCAGGTAGTTCCTATTCATGTGTGATGATGGTGGGTGAGTACAAGTCTTCGAACTCTAACAGGTATGGCCAAAATGACTAGTTAGTCTAAGAGCTCTGACTTCCCTTATACACAGGATGTTGTTGGAGACTCTCTTGACGCCATTTTTGTATTGTTTATTTCCATAATAGGGAGACCTAAAGCAGTGGATGATGGGACCATGCCTGTTGAATCTCTAAGGGATACTTAACAATGTATATGCATGTACTTGACCCCTATGTATTTGTGGGAGGATGAGCATTTGAAGGGATTGGAAATAGCAATAAAATAAAGAAAAAAATAAATAAAAGCTACAGAACACAATTTCGATCAGTGTCAATATTCAAACCTAAGAATATTGCCACAAGCATTTCAGCTAGTATATGAGTCTGTGCACTATTTGGTTCAGTCTTTGCTTGCTGCAAAATAAATATTTTTTTATGTTATTGAATAAATTTTCCTGTATAATCTGTGTGTACCCCTGAATTATATTGGTATGTCAAAGATCAAAAAGTAGACCAAAGACTGTCAATGAAGAACTCACCTACAATGTGCTGGAAGATTAACAGTGCAACCATTTAGCATGAATAATACATTCTGTAACCTCAGTTCTAAATTCAGGTCATTCTCATTTAATTCAAAATACTGAAAGGGAGGTGACACCAGGTTTCAATGGGCGTAAGGTAAATTTCAATCTTCAACAAGGGTTGGCTTTTATAAAGGAGAATATCTGAGAGTTATGGCAGCAGAAATGTGGCTGTACCCAGCAAGCCCTTGGTCATGTGTGGGGTCCTCTCATTAAGGATTGTTCATGTGATTAAGGGTTTGCAAAACCAAGCCCATGGATTTTTTCCTTTCCCAGATCCCCACGCAAATACATCCTGGTCCACTTCCACCTCCCAATCCAGTCTTGTGGCCCTGGATCATGTTCCAGGTAAGTACAGAAGGAAGAAGTTAACCCCGCCCCTACTGTTTATTTGGCTCCAAAGATCTTTGTTTAGTACTTGTCCTATTTACCCTTCTATATTTGAATTAATGATCATGGAAATTCTTGACCAAAATTATGGAAAACAATATTATTTTTGGAACATATTATGTAATCAATCTGTAATTTCAGATTTGGACCAAAAGTGAAAAGTGGCTTCATTTATGTAAAACTCCCTAGGAAAACCAGGCCTGCTAGACTTCCTAGACCCCACCTACCTAGACCTTTTGCTGCCAAGTCCAACCTGGTCTTCAAAGTTCCATTTCCTTAGACTCCTCAAAGTTTGTGTGGTTGGGGCACTTGCAGGACTGACACATAAGTATTAAAGTGAAATGGATCAGTGATCTAAGGATTCCCTCTGTTCTGGTCTAATTTTTACATACAAAAACGTATGTAAAAACAGTTTGATTTTATAATTTTTTTACCTCACACTAAGATCTGCCCCCATGAGATCAGATAGGAACAGCCAAAGGCCCTACTTCAGTTGCAGGATGATTGTCAAATAATTGTGGCAGAGTGTGGACAAGATATAGAAAAATCACAGAAAAGTAATAATGGACGTTTATTAATTGCAGTAATTTGGAAAAGCCAAAGAAGACCGATTTGTTTAAGAAAAATTTGCCAGAACAATACAAACACTCAAGTGTTATGTTATGCCTGCTAATTTTTTTTTTTTTGATAACTGGACATTTTGGTGCAACTATATTACACTCATCAATGCGTGAAGCTGACAATGGGAGCCCCACATTGCGCAGGTGCTGACAGCCCAAGCCCCAGCTGCTATCAGCTTGGATAAATGGGGCTCTACTGTACTAATGGTGAAAAAAGTATGTGTTGCAAACTTCAAAATGTATGCAAAATTGTGGACTGTTCAAAGTAAGCTAATTAAAATCAAAATTGTGGTGGAAGCCTAATCCACAATTTCTGCAATCTCACAAATTAAGTAGGGCTTTAGGAATAACTAAATATGAAATCTTACCATAGTGAGGTACATCTTGCAGTTTTTTAAGCCCCCATGCATCTGCAAAGGGCTGCCTTGCAGGATTGGGGCTTTTATGATCTTGTATTTAAAGCACTCAGCTAGGAGATCTGGATTTAGTTCCTGGCTCTGCCACACACTTCTTGTGTGTTCTTGGGTAAATCACTCAATCTCTGTAAAATAGGGATGATTACACTTCCTTTCCTCCCACCCTTTGTATGTCTTGTCTGTTTAGATTGTAAAACTCTTCCAGGCAGGAGCTTTCTCTTGCTATGTGTTTGTACAGCACCTAGCACACTGGGACCCCAATCTCACCTGGAGCTTCTAGGTGCAACAGTAGGAGAAATACTAATAGTTTGTATCCTGTATGCATGCATGTGCAGCTTTAGAGGAACAGCCGTGTTAGTCTGTATTCGCAAAAAGAAAAGGAGTACTTGTGGCACCTTAGAGACTAACCAATTTATTTGAGCATGAGCTTTCGTGAGCTACAGCTCACTTCATCAGATGTATACCGTGGAAACTGCAGCAGACTTTATATACACACAGAGAATATGAAACAATACCTCCTCCCACCCCACTGTCCTGCTGGTAATAGCTTATCTAAAGTGATCAACAGGTGGGCCATTTCCAGCACAAATCCAGGTTTTCTCACTCTCCACCCCCCCCCACAAATTCACTCTCCTGCTGGTGCTAGCCCATCCAAAGTGACAACTCTTTACATAATCAAGTCGGGCTATTTCCTGCATAGATCCAGGTTTTCTCACATCCCCCCCACCCCCATACACACACAAACTCACTCTCCTGCTGGTAATAGCTCATCTAAACTGACCACTCTCTATAGAGAAGCAAAGTGTGCGTTGTAAATGGCTTGTCTAGTTTTAGTAAAATCCAGCCACGAGGAAGTTTGTGTGGAAGGTTGGTTCTTTATGAGAGTATCCATTTTTGAGAGCTCATTCTTAATCTTTCCCTGTTTGCTGTAGAGGATCTTGATCAGGTGATTCCGCAGTTTCTTTGAGAGCGTGAGGCACAAGCTGTCAGCATAGTCTGTGTGGTATGTAGATTGTAATGGATTATAGAGAAGCAAAGTGTGCGTTGTAAATGGCTTGTATAGAGAAGCAAAGTGTGCGTTGTAAATGGCTTGTATAGAGAAGCAAAGAGAAGCAAAGAACCAGCAGGAGAGTGAATTTGTGTGGGGGGGTGGAGGGTGAGAAAACCTGGATTTGTGCTGGAAATGGCCCACCTGTTGATCACTTTAGATAAGCTATTACCAGCAGGACAGTGGGGTGGGAGGAGGTATTGTTTCATATTCTCTGTGTGTATATAAAGTCTGCTGCAGTTTCCACGGTATACATCTGATGAAGTGAGCTGTAGCTCACGAAAGCTCATGCTCAAATAAATTGGTTAGTCTCTAAGGTGCCACAAGTACTCCTTTTCTTTTTGTGCAGCTTTAGTGTTTTCACATTTCAAATAAACTTGTTTGCTTGCTCCTCAGGCATTTCAAGCAGCATGAATTTTGATGAAGAGGATGAGGATGATGAAGACAGCTCAAGTTCTTCCCAGTTAAACAGTAACACCCGACCTGGCTCTGCAACCAGCAAGAAATCAAACAAGGTTAGAAGGCAGAAGTGTTGCCTGTAGATTAATATGAACTTTGTCATTTCCAGGCCAGAAAGCCAGCGTTTTTTAACAGGGACGTTTTTTAATATAGCATCTTGAGGGAGGTTTGCTGTGGTACGTCACAGGCTTCAGAGAAGTAAGTAATGGAAAGGTTGAACAGGAGAGCATCTTCTGAAAACTAAAAACTAGAGATGGGTGAAATGACCTGAAATTTCATTGAAAAGTCAAACCAAACATTCCCAGAAGTAAACACATAGCTAATATTACCTGAACTTGAATGAAGAGAAAAAAAATAGGTAAACTAAATATCAAATTGTTAAAATAAAATCTTTGATCATAGTTGGTGATGGGGAGAGAGGTTTTGGCTTTACTGTTATCTCTATCTGTAGTCTCTCACTCTGCTCCTGCCACTGGTACCCAAATTGCTCTCAACTCTCAAGTAGAGGCATTCTTAACCCTGCTACTTCAACTGTAATCCATCTCCCAAATAACCCACTTTTCCCTTTCATGATCTCCCAATTGTCTACGTTTTCCAGCTATGAACTTTCTCAGAATTGGGGGTATTCAGATCTAGGGTTTTGGGAAGGACTCATCCATAAATATTGAGCCAGATTCTGCCTTGCATTGGTTATGAGTCTGACTTTCAAGGTGCAACTAACTCCACTCCTTTTTTCCAGTATGTCCCCTGTGCGGGGGTGCAGTTGGCATAGGAAACTTTTCCACTGGCTTTTCACCAGCTGAGAGGGGGGATTCTCATCTGAGCAGCTGCATCCAAATCCCACCTCTTTGCAGCGCCTGAGAGGCATAAGGGGGCCAGAACAGGGGGAATGCAATGTGCTATGTTGTTGCCATTATTTTTTTTTTAAAAAAGAAAAGCTGTTTCTGCAGTGCAGCTGCTGACATGTTTCTTTAAAATCTTGTGTTTTCAGTCTTTCCTTTGTAATAATAAAGTAAACATGAGGTAACCTTTCTTACTCTTCTAGGAGGCAGCCTCAGCTCCCAGCCCTTCCACAAATGAGCCTGTCATAGATGTTGATGACCTGGAGGAGTTTGCTGTGAGACCTGCTCCGCAGGGCGTCACCGTCAAATGCCGAATCACAAGAGACAAGAAGGGAATGGACCGAGGAATGTACCCTACCTATTACCTCCACTTGGAAAGGGAGGATGGTAAAAAGGTCATAAAATATACCTGAATGACATACCAGTTGCACCTGAACTTAAACCCGTTAAAAGTGTCTTCAGAATTTTTATGTAGCTAGTAGAATTATATATTTCCTTTGACTAAGGGTTTGGTACTATGCAGTGTATCACCACATTATATTTACTTTCCCATTCTTTATCATATTATTTGGTCTTAGAAGAGTCCATGCCTGGCAGCTGAAAATCGTTAGCAATTGAGGCTCCTTGCCCTTTGAGACTGAAAGGCTTCTATTTTCACTTTCCTTGGAGGAGCCAGTACAAGCTAGAATTAAACATTTAACAAAGCATATCAGGTTTAATTATTTAAACCATAAATAATGGATTGAAGGAAGAAGCAGTCACTGCGCCTTGCTGGCTTTTACCCATTTTTGCTAAGTCTCAGGTGACTGTGTCTGCTGATGATGATAAACCTCGGGAACATTGCCCATTTATTGGGAGGATGGGGTATTAAACATTCTTTAACATTCTACAATGTGACATTTTCTGCATTCCTTAGGTATTTCTATTAGCTGGAAGGAAGCGAAAGAAGAGCAAAACCTCTAATTACCTCATCTCTATAGACCCAACTGACCTGTCTCGAGGCGGAGAGAGTTTCATTGGAAAACTAAGGTAAACATTGAAGCACCCAAGATAGAGAGGAGGGAATATATGTTTTCTTGACAGAATATTCAGTTTCTTTGCAATTATGATACCTGTAAAAAAGGAAGGCTTACTCTTAGTTACAGTCTTGGTTATATCATGTGACTCTAGGCCTTGGGTAAAATTTTCAAAAGTACCTAAGTCCCATTTTCCATTTTTAAAAGTGATTTAGGTATGTAGGATCCTAAATCTTATTGAAAGTTAATGGGACAGATTTCTGAATCTATTTAGGTGTCTATCAGTGTGAATATGCGCCTAGGGGGATTTTCAAAAGCATCCAAGAAGATTAGGTGCCTAACTCCCATTGATTTAAATACCATTGAAAATCTACCCTTAGGCCTTTTTGAAAATTTTACCCGTTTCAGGCCCTTTAATAAAAGCCTTAAACTGCATTGTGATAAATGAGAGGGGGATAGCTCCCTTTTGTGGACATCCATCCAGCCAGTTAGCTATAAAATTCCTCTTAGTAACTGTTCTCTACTTGCTTTACCTGTAAAGGGTTAACAAGCCCACAGGTAAAAGGAAAGGAGTGGGCACCTGACCAAAAGAGCCAATGGAAGGGCTTCAACTTTTTAAAGTTGGGGAAAAAAAAACTTCCCCCTTTTCTGTGTGTTGTGGTTCTCTGGAGAGCAGAAACACAGAGTAGCAATGCTGTGAGCAGCTTTACTACCAGGTATGAAAAAGCATTAATTCATACCTCTAACCTACTTATCTGAAACCCCAGGTAGGTAAGTAAATCAGGGAATGTCTAAAAAGACGTGATTAGGTTTATTTCTTACTGGCTTGTGGACGCCTCTGTGCTTACCCGAGATGCTTTTGTTTTGCTTGTAACCTTGAAGCTGAACCTCAAGAGAGCTATCTTGATGCTTAATTTTTGTAACTGGGTTTTTTAAATCTAGCAAAAGCCTAAGTTCCAGATGTTTTCTTTCTTTTTTGTTTTTAATAAAATTTACCTTTTGTAAGAACAGGATTGGATTTTTGCTGTCCTAAGAGATTTGTGCATATGTTGTTTAATTAGCTGGGAACAACAGCTAATTCCCTTTGTTTTCTTTCTCAGCTCTTCCCTAGAGTGGCAGGGGGTGAATGGGCTTGAGGATACCCCACAGGAAGGAATTCCCAAGTGCACCTTCCTGAGTTCCAAAGGGTTTGCATTTGGGTGGTGGCAGTATTTACCAAGCCAAGGTCAGAGAGAAACTGTAACCTTGGGAGTTTAATACAAGCCTGGAGGGGCCGGTATTAATTTTTAAAATCCTTGCAAGCCCACACCTTCTGCACTCGAAATGTCAGACTGGGGAATCAGCCTTGACATGCATTTATTTACAAGTGGAGGAATTCTTATAGAACCATGAGCTTCTTCCCCCTCCTTGTCCTTCTCCCTACAAGTCTGTTGTTAATATACACTTGTTGTGCTTCATTATTTTTATGACTTTCATTTAAAGAAAGAAAGAAAGTCTGATGTTGTTAAAAACTTGTATATATACACACAGGGAAAAGTCATTATCTGTTGTCTGTTTGGACTAGTGGCTAAAAATTTGGATGCAATATTAGAATTGGTAAAAATTAAAAAACTAGTGTAAGAGAAGTTGAGTCACTGGAAAGTTTGCTCTTCAAAGCAGGAGCAGCATTAGCAGCAGGCAACTAGGGTGGTCACCCAGAGTGCCAACTTCCAGAGTTGGGGTAGAGGGAGCACCACATTCCTCTGACAGTTTTTTGTTTGTTTTGTTTGGGCTGGTCGGTTAGTTGGTGGTTTTTTGCTTGGCCACTCAGAGGACGCTGAAACATTTTCAGCCCTGGATGGCAAAACATTTATTTCCAGACCTGTGTCAAACCAGGTATGGATAGTTAAATGGCTCAGGGTGGAGTAAATGTTTCACTGCACAGCTTTCTCATGAATGTTTTATGTTATTGCACACACATATTTTAGTTATTTATTTCTTTAGATTTCTTTAAAAAATATACAGAAAAGTACCTATCTATTGATCTAGGCGCCTTTTGGTAGAACTTAAGAAAACCATCCAACTAAAACAGCAACTAACTGAACAGAAAGAAAAGGAGTACTTGTGGCACCTTAGAGACTAACCAATTTATTTGAGCATGAGCTTTCGTGAGCTACAGCTCACTTCATCAGATGCATACCGTGGAAACTGCAGCAGACTTTATATATACACAGAGAATATGAAACAATACCTCCTCCCACCCCACTGTCCTCCTGGTAATAGCTTATCTAAAGTGATCAACAGGTGGGCCATTTCCAGCACAAATCCAGGTTTTCTCACCCTCCACCCCCCCACACAAATTCACTCTCCTGCTGGTGCTAGCCCATCCAAAGTGACAACTCTTTACATAATCAAGTTGGGCTATTCCCTGCATAAATCCAGGTTTTCTCACATCTCCCACCCCCATACACACACAAACTCACTCTCCTGCTGGTAATAGCTCATCTAAACTGACCACTCTCCAAGTTTAAATCCAAGTTAAACCAGAACATCTGGGGGGGGGGGTAGGAAAAAACAAGAGGAAACAGGCTACCTTGCATAATGACTTAGCCACTCCCAGTCTCTATTTAAGCCTAAATTAATAGTATCCAATTTGCAAATGAATTCCAATTCAGCAGTTTCTCGCTGGAGTCTGGATTTGAAGTTTTTTTGTTTTAAGATAGCGACCTTCATGTCTGTGATTGCGTGACCAGAGAGATTGAAGTGTTCTCCGACTGGTTTATGAATGTTATAATTCTTGACATCTGATTTGTGTCCATTTATTCTTTTACGTAGAGACTGTCCAGTTTGACCAATGTACATGGCAGAGGGGCATTGCTGGCACATGATGGCATATATCACATTGGTGGATGTGCAGGTGAACGAGCCTCTGATAGTGTGGCTGATGTTATTAGGCCCTGTGATGGTGTCCCCTGAATAGATATGTGGGCACAATTGGCAACGGGCTTTGTTGCAAGGATAAGTTCCTGGGTTAGTGGTTCTGTTGTGTGGTATGTGGTTGTTGGTGAGTATTTGCTTCAGGTTGCGGGGCTGTCTGTAGGCAAGGACTGGCCTGTCTCCCAAGACTTGTGAGAGTGTTGGGTCATCTTTTAGGATGCTCAAATAAATTGGTTAGTCTCTAAGGTGCCACAAGTACTCCTTTTCTTTTTGCGAATACAGACTAACACGGCTGTTCCTCTGAAACCTGGTAACTGAACAGAAACTCCCAACGAAACTCAGCCTCATGAGTGTCTTAAGCACCATACATGATACTCAAATTATTTAACCCTTTTTTTACAGATGATCTGCATTGAAAATGGCACTGTAGATTAACTAGAACTGCACCGCTTCTTTTATATATGATTTATTGTCTCTTGGTAGATTACAGAATTCTCCCAGCACAGTGCAATAATAGGGACAGTCACTGTAAATGCATCTTGTAATATCCTGCCTCCCAGAGGTGCATGTATATTTAGGATTTCAGATGACCATTTTATTTACAGTTAATAGAATATTATGGGTTTTTTACCACTTGAGGTCTGATATGATAAGGGACTAGGTAATTCAGGCTGTATTGTCAACAAAAGTAATTTGTCCTCCTGTTTTTTGATAGATCAAATCTTATGGGGACTAAGTTTACAGTATATGACAACGGAGTAAATCCAATGAAAACAACATCAAGCCTAGAAGCAAGTAACCTGCGTCAGGAGCTAGCTGCTATTTGCTATGTAAGTACTGCTCGCAGGCAAAACCTGTAAGGAGTGGAAGTTAATTTTCAAAACATTGGACCTGGTTCTCTTCTCACTTACACTGGTATAAGTCAGCATTCGCACCCTGAACAACTGAGGTTCCCAGTTCCAGACTGTCTCTAGCAAGACCAGGAAACTTTAACAGGAAGTAAAGGTAAGAAATACTTACCCACATGTACTCCTTGTCACCAGACAGATTGCCATGTGACAGGCCCCTCATCTCCAGTCAGAAGATGTCAGAGCTCTGGTACTATGGGGATAGAATGCTTTACACTCCTGTACGTATCTTATGGGCAAGGCCTTTCTCAGTGGGAACTGTAACTGTGAGGACAAAATTACTACCAGTAAAACATGATGAGCAGCAATGGTACCCTGGAGATGGCATCTGTGTTCCAGTAGAGTTCACAGGGAGCTGGGCAGGTAGGTCTGAAATGGTCCCTCAGAGAGAAGGAGAGAGTGCATGTCTCCCCTTGAAGGAACCAGGAGCATCTGGCCGCTTCCTGGCTCCAGTATGATGTGGACTAGCTAGTCACACCGTCCCCTCTCCCCAGCTTGAGAGGGTGAGTCTCAGGCTGTAAGAAACAATCTGTCTGGAGTGATGGGTGGTGCGCTGAATGACCTGGAGGATTGTCAGCACATGAAAACCAAAATGAGGGGCCCTCCACTTCCATGGCCATGACTCCAGGCAGTAGGGTCAGTGGTATTACCAACATTAACATGGTTTTTTGGTTGGGGTATAGGGTTGGTTCTGTCTTCGTGCAGATGACACAACATATTTCCCCCACCCATTAACCCACCCCTTCACTCTGGTGTCTGGGTGCCTCACACCTGCCCCTTCAGATTTTCAGCAAACAATACCTTTAAAATCATAATCTCAAGCATTGGACTTCACTTTATATTTAGACTTCACTTTCACTATGATATAAAGGCACTTACATGTCTAGTGAATTATTTTTACTGACTTTTGTAGTGTGGCATTCCCTGTAGCAGAGCAACTGATCTGCTGCTGCTAGCAGAGAGTAGGAGTAAAAAAATAAAAACAACTTTTTATATGTATTAAAAAAAGAGAAATATGCAAATGGTGATATATAGATATAGCAAGAGCTATAGTTATAAAATATGCAAATTGAGGCACTGCATCATTTGCATGGAATCACCAGATATTTGGACATTGCAGGTGAAAACCCCACTGTAGTCAATGGAGTTAGCATCTACATGCATGAAACTAATGTAAGTGAGATCAGAATCATACCCACTGTTTGGTGAGTTTGGCTAAAACAGATTAATGAGTTTGCATAGATGCCTATTACTAGATCGGTGTGTTTAAAACTAACAAGTATATATTAAAAAATTACATAGTTAAGCCTATTACTTGTTCCACTGATCTTTTAATATTTCAGAAGAAAATTATTAGATTTTCAAATGCGCTATGATTCTGACCACAGCACAAAAGGAGAGCTGGATTTGATTTGATTAATGATACTGCCTGTTAAAGTATCTTAAACCACTGTTGTTTGTACTGATTGCAGCACAAATGCAGTGTAGTAAAGTACCATACAGAAGGTATTCAAAACAACTTTATCCTAAGGTGACCTTTTTAATATGTCATAAATATAAAGGGAAGGGTAAACCCCTTTGAAATCCCTCCTGGCCAGGGGAAAGCTCCTCTCACCTGTAAAGGGTTAAGAAGCTAAAGGTAACCTCGCTGGCACCTGACCAAAATGACCAATGAGGAGACAAGATACTTTCAAAAGCTGGGAGGAGGGAGAGAAACGAAGGGTCTGTGTGTCTGTCTTTAGTCTGCCTTTGTTGGGGATAGACCAGGAATGGAGTCTTAAAACTTTTAGTAAGTAATCTAGCTAGGTACGTGTTAGATTATGTTTTCTTTAAATGGCTGAGAAAAGAACTGTGCTGAATAGAATAACTATTTCTGTCTGTGTATCTTTTTTGTAACTTAAGGTTTTGCCTAGAGGGGTTCTCTATGTTTGAATCTAATTACCCTGTAAGGTATCTACCATCCTGATTTTACAGGGGGGATTTCTTTATTTCTATTTACTTCTATTTTTATTAAAAGTCTTCTTGTAAGAAAACTGAATGCTTTTTCATTGTTCTCAGATCCAAGGGTTTGGGTCTGTGGTCACCTATGCAAATTGGTGAGGCTTTTTATCCAACATTTCCCAGGAAAGGGGGGGTGCAAGTGTTGGGAGGATTGTTCACTGTTCTTAAGATCCAAGGGTCTGGGTCTGTAGTCACCTAGGCAAATTGGTGAGGCTTTTTACCAAACCTTGTCCAGGAAGTGGGGTGCAAGGTTTTGGGAAGTATTTTGGGGGGAAAGACGTTTCCAAACAGCTCTTCCCCAGTAACCAGTATCTGTTTGGTGGTGGTAGCGGCCAATCCAAGGACAACGGGTTGAATATTTTGTACCTTGGGGAAGTTTTGACCTAAGCTGGTAAAGATAAGCTTAGGAGGTTTTTCATGCAGGTCCCCACATCTGTACCCTAGAGTTCAGAGTGGGGGAGGAACCTTGACAGTACTGATTGCAGCACAAATGCAGTGTAGTAAAGTACCATACAGAAGGTATTCAAAACAACTTTATCCTAAGGTGACCTTTTTAATTCCAGCCTTAGGTTTCCCTTGAGCAAAAACTACCCACTGTAATAAACATCTGATGTCAGATGTGAAATCCAGCTCCCTCTTATTTCATATTGATCAAGTCCCCCTTTGGAGAAAGCTGTGCCAGCATCAACCAGCATACTGAATCTGACCAGCATGCCTCATTTATCCAAGCAAAATGAAAGACTGTCAATAACTTCATTGTTAATTGTGAGATAAATGCACTGAAATCCCTAATTGTGACGCTCCCCTCTGGGTTATGCTCCAAGCACTGTGGCTGAAGTAAGTGCAAGTAAGTGCAAGTGCTAAGAAATTGTTTGTACTCTCACCACAGAGAATCTTATCGTGATGGCAGAATAGTTGATTAATAAATCTTCAGCATCACCTAAAGGCCAATTTCAGAATAGCTGTGCTTTTGTAAACATATCTGAAGTAAGATTTTAGTGAGATGCAGAGGTCTGGCTGTATGCTTAGCAGCAAGGCTGTTTGCCATGCTCAACACTTACCCCTTTAAGTTCTGAATAGCGCACAATTCAGTTTTCTCCAGACTTAGTAAGTTGGGCGATCAGATAATAAAAAAATTTCTGATCCAATTTCCATTGTAGTCAATGAAAAAACTCCCACTGACTTCAGTGGATGTTGCTCAGGCTCCAAATCACTTGCACAGTGAGGTAGATAGTATATCTTAGTGTGTTTTGATGTAGTGAGAGTTTTGGTCTTGTGTGTGATTCAACAGTAAATAAGTTCTACAAAAAGGCACTGGTGTGTGCATGTAGTTCAGATAGGAAGGGAATGAAACCAAGGAAAGACAGTGGATATCATTGATCCAGTTTTTGTATTCCCTACAGAACTATTTGCAGGCAAGCAGTTAGGGTGTATAGTACTTGTGGCACCTTAGAGACTAACCAATTTATTTGAGCATAAGCTTTCGTGAGCTACAGCTCACTTCATCGGATGCATCGTGAGCTGTAGCTCATGAAAGCTTATGCTCAAATAAATTGGTTAGTCTCTAAGGTTCCACAAGTACTCCTTTTCTTTTTGCGAATACAGACTAACACGGCTGTTACTCTGAAACCGGTGTAGAGTAGGTGGATTTTATAACTGTTATTGTAATAAAACACATAATAGCCTAAATTTACACTGTGTTTTAAAAGCCAGAGTATGGAAAAGTTCTGCAGTCCAGTGATTAAACACATGAATCACCATTATACTATTCCCAGGAACACCACACTGGTCAGGTAAATGGCAATGATCCATCACCTAAACACACAGGAGCAGCTCTTCAACTGATTTAACTCACTATAGCTCCAATAAAGTCAATTGAGCTATTGCCATTTACAGGAGCAGAGGATCTGGTCCACAGATCCTATTTTTGAGCTCCTTTGCACAAGTGTAAATCAAAACTGTATTACAGTAAATGGAGTTACAGTGGGGTCAGATCAGATTTTGGTCCATTTTCCCCAAATAGCACTAGTCACAGCCCTGGAATAAAAATGTATTTATAACAACATTGTTGGGTGGAAGAGAATAATGGAGGAGATCTGGGAAATTGACTTTATTTGGATGATGATATGTTGGGAAGTTCTGAGCTTAATTTAAGCTCCTTTTCCTTCCCTACTTGCTTTATTTATGTATTCCATGTTTATGCAGAACTGAATTTTAATGTTACAGCTTGATGTTGGCAAAATGATTACATCCATTGATATACACTTTCATAAAGCCTTTTAGTGATTTACTCATCAATGGTATAATTTACAGTGTGAAATCAGTACTTTCCTCCCTTCAGTTCCCTTTTCATATAGCGAAAGCATTAATTTTAGTTTTTATTCGAAAGTCTGATGAATATCTTACTGAAGTTTCAGGGGGATAATGTATTCTTGTTGCAAGTAATGTTATGCGGCATTAGTGTTTAACTCCAGCTTTCACGGTCTCCAGCCACATTGGTGTCTCAGTGGATTGCATATAACACAACTGCAGCTTGAAAAGAAATGCTCAGGACACTAAATAGAAAACCAGTATTGTCAATAATTAGTGGAAGATAAGCCTAGGCACGAGTCTCTTCACAGAAATTGGCTCTTGCTATGTTATCTAAGCTCTCTCTAGCTTGAGAATGCTTTTGGCAAATGTATTAGTTTGGGTCTCACTATTATACAGGCATCAAATAGGAATTCCCAGCTGAAATGATGACCTTTGTTTACTCTGTCAAAGACCTTGACAGAAGCATTTTGTAAAATAGGCAGAAAGCTTTCAATTACTGTCCTGGTGACATAAAAATCCATTTGTCTCTTCTGTACCCAATGGGATTTATCCAGCATGGTTGAAAATCTTTTGTAGGACTGGTAGAATGGTAAGGAATGTTTGTTGAAATAACTGGGGTGATTTCAGAAATTTGGAGTATGACAAAGGCTTCATCTACATGCAGAAATTTTAGGCCTACATTTTCAAAAGTGCCTATAGATGTGGGGTGCCTTAATTTTTTGGTGCCCCACTTGAGACATCATAAAGAGCTCTGGTTTGCGAAAAGGGGGGGGGGGTCACAAAAAATCAGGCCCTTTCTAGGCGTTTCCAGTTGAGTACCCAAAAATGAGGCATCCAAATTCACAAGTCACTTTTGAAAATTCCCACGGATTGAGCTGCACTTGCCTTAGTTTAGATGAGGCTCTTGACAGGTTCTGGTGTCTCCCTGGGGTAGCTAAACTGATGGTAAAGCTCGTCACTGACTTCAGTAGGTACAGAGATAGGCCACCATGGAGTGATTTGAGAATCCCATCTTTGCAGTTTATTGCCCCTTGAAGATAGAAGAGGGAGGGGGAGGATAATAGCTCTGACTACCTGAGGACAAATAAGGACTGAAAAGAGAAATCAGACTAAGGGTCTATTTTGATTTTGGCACTTACCTTTTGAGAGACTCTCAGTTACCATGGCGGTGGGCACGGTTAAAACCTGAGTAGATAGAGAGCAAAGTTACATTTACTACGAAACACAATGTTTTGCATGGACATACCTTGGCACCAGTGTTTTTTTTCTCTACCGTCTCTGCCTCCGTAACTAAGAAAACCTGCCTTCGTGATACCATGTTTGTTTGTTTTTGTCATTCTCATCTCCAAGTCCACCATATTTGAAGACTTTACAAATCAAACCAATACTAACAGATGCTAACACTGGCAGCTCTTCATCTTTTGCTTTTGTGCTGGCTGTGGAATGAAAGGAAGCTAGGTTTCTTCCCCTCCCCCCCCCCATTAAAATGTGTGTGTGCATTTAGTGGTTATAAAATTATAACTGCAATTTATTGTGATAACTAGTGGTACCCAGGCATTCTGGTTATTTCATATCTGTTTTCAACAATGAATGATTTTTTACCTGCATTAATGTAGCTGGCAGCCTGTCCTAGAAGCTTTGTCACAGAGGGCTTTATGGCAGACTGTTATATTTCCATTTTTCCTTTTGTCAGAACTGTTAAGACAGAGAGGTTGACAGTGCTGATGAATGCAGGCAATTCAGATGGTTTTTGAGTGGACTAATAATGGGGTGATGACACTGCTTTATCCTCTGTGCTAAAGAACTTAACTTCCAAGATTAAAAATAAGAAGCATTACAAATACTTTTTCTAAAAAATTTTTTAGGAAACAAATGTCTTGGGATTTAAAGGACCTCGCAAAATGAGTGTAGTCATACCAGGAATGAATATGGACCATGAAAGAGTTTCTATCCGACCACGTAATGTAAGTCATAATGTGTCTCAACAATTAAAATTATTAAAGGATGTCCTCTTTCACCCAGATTGGTTATGTTTCTACTTCTGAAGGGTTGGATGTTAGAGATTTGTTCTGTTTGTACAGCACCTAGCACAGTTGGCTCCTGGTCTGTGGCTGGGGCTCCTAGGTGCTACCATGTTACAAATAAATAATAATACATTTCAGAGATCAGCTATGGACTAGGATTTTCAAAGATGTCTATGGAATTTGGATGTCCAATTCCTATTAAAATACTTAACATTCCTTTGTTTTGTTTTATTTGTACTGTGATACTGGAAGTTAAGGGTGACAAGGAGTACGGTGGAAGTTGTTAACTCCCTTTCCCCTCAGAGAGTGCTAACTTGAAGTTTGTGTGTGTGTGATGTTTCAGGAACATGAAACGCTTCTTGCAAGATGGCAAAACAAAAATACAGAGAGCATCATTGAGCTGCATAACAAAACTCCGGTCTGGAATGATGACACCCAGTCCTATGTTCTAAATTTCCATGGTCGAGTCACACAGGCCTCCGTGAAAAACTTCCAAATTATTCACGATAATGATCGTAAGTGCAGATCACTGAGCTAAACTGATTAGAAACAACACTTACTTTGTACACACTCTGACACTGATTCTATCCTGACAATTCAGATCAGATTGTTTTTTATACCTACTGGGACAGATTTTGTGCTGTGCTCCCTGAAAGGTGCAGCATGGAAGATGCAGTGTAAGGGTAAAAGTTGCTTTATGCCACCTTTCTATCCTCTGGATTCCAGGCTGCTGCAGAGGCCGGTTAGGCCCCCCAGTGTAAATTGAGCAGCTCTGCAGGCTATGCTAATTTACAGCAGCCTCCTCCTCCTGGCTACTTATGGACTGGGCAGCAGCCCAGGATTCCCTGTCAGAGCAGTCAGCACTGTGCTATTCCCTGGGCTGCCCCAGCACACTCCTTTACATAAGGGCCTGTATTAGTCCTTTGCTGGGGAAATCCTATCCCAGCCATTTGTGGTTCTTTTCTGGTCCCTCTATGCCCTCAGTGTGCACTTGGCGAGTGGGGGCAGAATCTGCCCCACTATGCACTCACATAACTCACAGGTGTAGATGACACAAGGAAGATGCAGATGTATCGGACCAGAGTCTTGTCTAGGACAGTGAGGGTGTTGAAGGCTTGGTAAGATCAACATTGTGAAGACCATGCATGGGAATTGGCAGTGCCAGCCTCTGAGAGCTATATGGTGTTTTAAACATTTGCCAAGGCTTCTAAGTGATGCTGAAATTCACACTGCACAATTACCTTTGAAGTGTTTCTGTGTCAAATGTGTACATTCACAGTAGCAGAAAGGCAGCACAATTACACCCATACTCACCCCCTCTCACACTCTTTCTCCCAATTCTCTTTGCCTGCCTGTCTGCCTGCCTCACCTTGCTTCTGTTAAATTCAATGGGAGCAGAATTAGATCCTGTCTGGTATGAGTGAAATTCTCCCCTGTACAGAGATCAACACAAGTTCTGTGCATAGTTCTTGTGCTGGCCTTCTTCACAGAGGTGAATTTCATGCTTATGAATGCTAGGGAATAGCGGCCTTGTTTGTTTTTTTTTTTTTTTTTAAACCCATTTTTACCTGGGTAAAATTTTAAAAGAAAACACACACAAGGCCTTTATTCCTGCAATTTGTCCTCATTCAAATTGTCCTCTTATGAATAATCCCATTGAAGTCATGTCTACTTGTCTGAGTATATGTTATAGCATTCAATCCATCTATCATGGTGGGTTTTGGGCAGTGGGTTGGTATTGAACGCGCATTTATTTAATAGGGGCTGCAGTCAAAACTAACACTTTGTCACTTTTATGACTTTTATTACAGCTGACTATATAGTGATGCAGTTTGGCCGTGTGGCTGAGGATGTATTCACCATGGACTACAACTACCCAATGTGTGCACTACAGGCCTTTGCTATTGCCCTCTCCAGTTTTGACAGCAAATTGGCTTGTGAGTAAACAGGAATGGTAGAGTCTCCACACAGCTGAGCAGTATGCCACAAGGGAAAACAACATGATTCCAGATACTCACTGGTATCATTTATGGTTCATACAAACCAGGCCAGGTAAAATTCATTTTTGGAAGGACCACCATATTGCTGGGGAGAAAATAATTGGAATCTTTTAAACATTCAGGACATTCAGGAAATATTGTTTTATCTGTTATATATTTTTCTGGAAGTGGCATCAAGTTTCTGTAAATAAAAGTCCAGTCTGATAGTCTTAGCTATGTTATGGAGAGATGCCATGATGTACTGTACCATGGCTCAAATAACACCATTCCTAGTGGTGTCTCTTTTCTAAATCTATGAAACCTATCTTAAAAAAAAAAAAAGTCTGTTTTTATGTTAAGAAGTATTCAGAGGCTGTACTCAGACCTCAAGATTGTGTTGAATACTTTGAACGTCACATCACCCAACACAGAAGAAACGATCACCAAAAAAAGATGCACTTTTTGAATGGACGAGGATCTCGTGTAATATAAAACCAAGTCTGAGGGTGAAAGGCCTATCTATATTGGACTGAACTTGATTTGTTGCTATTATTTATGTGGAGGATCAGAGTGAGTTTTAATTATAGTAGGAGAAAAAGGAGAAGTAGACAGCACAAAATAATGTTGCACAAGTCACTTGAATTCTAAGGTGTCTTTTTTTTATGTTTTAACATCTATTTGCTTTTAAGTTCTGTTTCAAATGAAAACTTATTGGAATTCTAGAAAGGGAAAAAATCTGAATGCCAGCATTTTGGCATGCTGGGTCTTGGGAATTGTATCCTTATATATCCCTATATCAATTCAGATACATATTTTGTGTCAAGTGATATAAATATTTGGATAAAGATCTCTTCACAGAGCTGCATCATTATTTTAAGCCAGTTGTGTGAATGATGAAGGAAAGTAGTAGAAATAATATATTAAATTAGTCTGGCCTTTTGTGATTTAAATTTTGGATATTGAGTTTTGTCAAATCTGCAGTAACAATTTTCATATTAATTTCTCATTATAAAAGTGCTTGAAATCTATTGAAATCTATTTTACATTATAATGTAAAAGTGCCAGCTACTGAGCTAAATTCTTCTCGGCAAATATAGTGTACATTACAGACAAATTAGATTCATTCAGGACATACAAATAGCTTAAAAAAGGATTTTCTTTTGTTTCATCTTTTCTGATAGGATATATAAATAAATATCATTTCAAAATACAAGCTGTCCACTCAGCTTTCTCGCATTGTAAACATCTCAAAAGTCATCAAGGAAAGACTTTAACTATGAGAAATGCATAAAACCCCTTTTAAAAATAATAGAGATCCTGAGTCTTACTTCTATTTTCCCTTACAATAATATTCCCAAACTAACACAACAGTTTATCAGAAGAGCTTTAAATATTGGAGTAACATTTTATACTGTGCTTATAAAAAACCCCTTTTTTATCCTTAAGAGCATATCTAGTTTATATAATGAGAAAATGAGATCAGATCTGCTTGTCTCATAGCTTCCAGTCCCTGTGTGACCGTAGGGGACAGGCCATTAGGACAGGTGGTGCCATTTGGACTGTATGATTTCAACTAATAAGAGAAATATGTTTTATTCTGTGCCTCTGCCTCCAGGTCTCATTACAGATATAGGGACAAAGGAATTTCAGTGGACAGATGTGCTTGCAGTTGGATTGTTGTTGCTTAATTTACAGCTTTATATGAAAGTCTGTTTTAAATAGAATAAACCCATTTTAAATCCCATTGAAGTCAATGAAGAGAAGCCTCCTGGCTTTGATAGGGGTTTGTTCACCCCTGGCCCAACCTATTGAATGTGTTCTAAACAATAGCAGAGACTGCCCTTCATCTTCAGTCTTTTCACAAAAGAAATATTTTCTTCCTGTAGTATAAAATAAGAAAGATATCTCCTGATCTGAGATAAAGGAGCAGTGAGTTCCTTCAATGAATGATAAAAATGGTAATCAACCAGGATTTGCAGTTTTCATTACTCAGCACTTTGCTAGTATGAGACCCCAGCAAATGGGTGTGTTCTCCTCTCTGTCGACTGTTGTGTTCTTGCACCACATCTGAGGCACTCTCTCAGCCCCTGTCCACTATCTGATTTTAAATTTTAACAAACAAATAAATGGCATTCATGTTATTGTTTGACAACTTCTAAGCTTACTCAGTGCTTCTAGGACTAGCTAGAGTTTTGGTTCAGCCCACTGCAAAGATAGATACAATTTGTTGAACTTGGATCTGGTCTCAATTCCAAGGTGTAGAAGGTGTTGGAATCTGTGGGTTTGATTCTGGCCATCTCCAATGATAATTATATGCCTAGAAAATGGCATGTGGCATCGCCACATACTTCTATCTCCTTGCAAAATCCACTCAAATGAACGGAATGTCTTAGTCTATTTTCTTTTAATTGGGTGGGAAGATAGCCTGTAAGTTACACTGGAAAGAATATTGACTACAGTCTTCCTAATGTTACTTCACAGTACCGTAAAACAGTACTAGCTAAGTAACTGTAAAGGGAAATTATCTTTACAGTAGTCACTAGAAAATGAATACCTTTGTATAAAGAAGGATCTTTGTCACCCAGAGCACCCCACACCAATAAAGAGAATAGAAGACGTAACAAAAATTCTGAGACAACTGACTCAGCAAGAAACACCAACTATGAGTATCATCACCCCAACCTTTGTGATTAGGATTTTCAAAGGCATCTACAGGAATGAGATGCCCAAATCTCACTTAAAATCCCATGGCATTTTTGCAAGAGTTCACTATGGTGTCCTTACCCTTGCCTGATGATTGTAAAGCAAGATGCTGTGTTCTGTTCAAGCACCTGGCTACTATCTTTTGCCCCAGATGTGGCCACATTTCAGTGGTGACATATCTATTTTGTGAAATGTGTGGGACATTTCCAGATGAAAGACATTACTACATATGAATATTTTTAGGTTCTAATTCCTCTCTCCCCCAATCTTTCATTCTTGCCATCCTGTTAAGCATACAGATTCTTCCTAAACAAAGCACAATATATGGAATTGCATAGGCCCCAAGAAAATAGATTGTGCCTTGCACAATAAAAATGCATTTTGTAAATATTTTCAAAGATATCTGCTTTCCCAAATAACCTGTTCGACAGGTCTCCCAATTAGACTTGCTGGTAAAAGAGTACTAGCACCGATATCTTCCGGAATTCCTTCATATCAACATTTAACAGCACATAAACCTTGTCCTTTCAGTATCACAAATAAGAATAATAAGAACAATATCAGGTCGTATAGTTCCCCTACAATGTCCCAGTGAGAATTTGGTTAGAATTGACTTCATAATGTTTTAGCTGTAAGTACTCATGATTTAATCTTGCTTATGGTATTAATTTTGACAGGGAGTCATAAAGAAACTGTGTCTGAATTGCTTATAGGCTAATATCCTTCTCTTTTATGTGACTTCTTAATTTAACTTGTCACTTAACAACTAGATTGTTGACAGCAAATCATTTCTTCCTGGACTCTATCTAATTTTCTTTATCTCTGAAGCTCTTCTACTGCTGGTCCGCCTCCTCTCTCCAAGCCCATTATCTTTTATTCTAAGATGTATAAGCCAAATGTGGTTGTTCTGGCAATATCATTCAGTGAATCAGCTGAATAGCGCCATCAGGTGCGCATCCAATAGTGCCCCCACAATGAGGAGCTTTTTGGGGCTGAATTTGGCCCTTTGGCTTTACAGTGAAGTAAATTAACACATTGAGAGGCAAGCGGATACAAAGAGCTTGTCAGAAATATAATCAGCATTTCAATGATTTTAGGAAACCTAGTAATAGCAGTTTCCAAGCCAGTGGCAAATCAGTGGGCAACACTGTCCGGAAGCCTGGAGTTTCTGTTATGAAAATTCTCTTTGTAGGGTTTTCTTATTTGTCCTTTTGGTAAGGGTGAAAGTGATTCTAAAAAATGCAACATGTCAGTGCTGCTAAACAGAGTCCACATCTGAGAAGCTAACCATCTTCCCACTCCAAGGGAAGGAATGTCACTTAGAAAAAAAGAGGTTGGGTAAAGCTTCATCGCACGGTAGTAATAACTAGGCCTTTATTATGAATCCACTTAAGTGTCTGTCCAGTTTATTTCTGTGTTTATTTTTCACGTTATCTTACAATAGTATTGATATCTCCAGACCATTGTGATTGCATAGCACCATAAAGGAGCACTGTTCTCACTCTAGAAATACATTTCTACATACGCTCTAGAAGGGGGCCCAGAATAAAATCCTGTATCTCAACACCCCAAACTGTAAGAGGGCCTGGAATCTTATCAGGGCTCTGGAGCCAAATTAATGCTGACCATTGTTTGTATAGTGCTGAACCAAAGCCCTGGATGCAAAGCTTCTGGCCCATCTCTAGCTTTTGATGAAGGAATTTTCAGAGAACTGTAACCAGCCATAGACATTATTAGGGTGACCAGGTAGCAACTGTGAAAAAACAAGACAGGGAGTGGGGGGTAATAGGCACCTATATAAGAAAAAGTCCCCAAAAAACAGGACTGTCCCTATAAAAACAGGACATCTGGTCACCCTACATTATGAGTGAGATTTTCAAAAGCTCTCAGCATTGTACCCCAATGAAAAATCCCACTCTGTATGTTCACTGCCAGCTGAAGAGAATGTGATCAGTTCAGTCCAGGGGTACAGTGAACTTTACTTCAATAGGTCCAGTGTGACCTCTTGCATCTTAGCAACTTTTCATAGCATTAATTTGTTTGTTTTGCAGTAGTGACCCACTGAATAGAGACAGTGTAGGAGACAATCCTTGCCCTGCAGATTGGTACCAGTAGATTTAGTCTTTGATGATAGAACAGGATAGGATAGGTTTCAGAGTAGCAGCCGTGTTAGTCTGTATCCACAAAAAGAAAAGGAGTACTTGTGGCACCTTAGAGACTGACCAGTGAGCTGTAGCTCACGAAAGCTTATGCTCAAATAAATTGGTAAGTCTCTAAGGTGCCACAAGTACTCCTTTTCTTTTTTCAGGATAGAATAGTCTTTCTTCCTGATCCTGCAGAGAGCTGATGGACTCTTACACCTAAGCAGTGCCACTTGTATTTAGTGGGTACTCAGAGATACAGAGTTTTGGTTTGAAGTCAATGGATCTCTGCATAGCATAAGAGTTGCCTCTACTAACCTTTTGCAGAACAGGAACCTGAAGCTGTCAATTTCTAAACTGGCTGAAAACACGTGATTTTTGACTCAGTAAGAAAACACATGTACAATTTGTACTGAAGTAGGCTCTTGCCTGTAAAATACCTCTTCAGATAAATCTGGTTACCACATTTAGTAGAATGGCACACGGTGGCTGCCCTTATTAGAAGTATGGGTTGATTCTCAAATTTCTTGTCAAATCTCCATAAAGGACATGTTTGTGGTTATTGGAAAAACATTGCTCTCCATTCTCATATAAACCTCAGTTTGGCCTTAGATCTTTCTGCAGATGAAGACTATACATGTCACTACACACCACTGATTTTCCCCTAGCTAATCACACGTGACCTCAGACTCCTCCAATGCATACTGCTCTGTGAAAATACAGTCCTTCCGTTTGCTTATGCCCCTACTAAACTCCCTTTTACATTTTCTAATGAGTAGCCACCTAAAATTGTTTTGTTGCTTTTTTAGTGTTTGCTTTGATATTACAGCTGGCTGATGAGGAAAAAAAGATTTGTGAAAATACTTTCCATTTTGTTTTTGTTTTTCAGAAATTTCAAAATATTTTGCTCTGAGTACGCTGAACTCAAGCTCAGTAGCTGACACTCAGAAATACATTTGGGTTGGAAGAAATTGCATTAATACTTTTTTAAATGTATTTTATTTAACTGCCAAGAGGGTATAAATAATTCTTTTTAGATAGGTGCATGTTTGTCAGAACCCTTACTAAGACGACTTGAACTACACAAGCTTTCTTGAAAGCCTGTTTATTAGGTACAGTGTACTGGTTTTGTCAGATTGCTTTATGTACATGATGCACTTAAGAAAAGTTTAGTTAAATTGTTGAGGAAAACTTTCTACGTGCTTTATAATTTGGTTGGCCAGTAACTGTTCTAACAATTGCCACACAATGAGTATGTTTTATGTAAAACTACAGTAGCACTTTAAAAAAACAAACAAAAAACACTTACAAAACCTTGCCTATACATAAATAGGAATTTTTTTAAAGCCCTGCTTGAAGGTCTGACCCCAGAGATCCTCAGAATAACAACAGGCTATGTTGCATATGTTTGTTGATGCACACCATTTGGAAAAAGTACCCCTAAAAGACACAATCTGTATTAAAATTGGCCTAAAGTTGAAGCATTATCTAGTAGTTAGAGCACATGACTGGAAAGGAGGAGGACCTGGATTTTAGTCCCATGCTGACTCACTGTGTGTCTTCGGGCAAGTCACATAACCACTTTGTGCCTCAGCTTCCCCATGTGTCAAATGGTGATCATTATCATCAGACCATCTTCCCAGTTCTATTTTGAGGCTTAATCAGTTGAATGCTTTGAGACCCTTGGATAGCAGATACTATTTATGTGTTAAGTCTTACATTTCAGTTGATATTGCTGGAAACATAAAAGTGTGAATTATTATTTGTTACCTGGGCAATTTAGTGAAACTTACTAGCTAATGAAATTGTTGGGTAAAATCCTTGCCCCATTAGAATCAACGGGAGTTTTGTCACTGATTTCAGCAAGGCCCAGGCTTTCACCCTCAATGTACCCCTGATTATCAAATGAGCAGAAAAACACTGTGTCAGAGATATTGGGCAAACAATGTGATACTGTTTTCCTTTTTCCAAAGTGATGTATAGCTGTATTTTAGTGTACATTTATAAGTCGTCATAAAACCAGCATTCCTGAACGTATTCCATTGACTCTTTTAATCCTGTTGCCTGGTTGTCCTTCCTTCATGTTGAAAATCAGGCACTTACAATTTGGGCGGCACAGTGTCTTTTGCATAATTTTTCTATGAATCAGCCGTTAATAACTGGCATGGTGCATGTCTGCTTTAAAACCAGTGGGCCTGATATGAACTATGACTGACCTCTTCCAACACAACTTGCTTCTGACATAGGAACCTGTAAATGCTGCTTCTCCCTTTTAGTGATCCTTACTCAGGACTGTGCAACTCATTTAGGAATGTCACAAGTAACACTAAATTGTAAAACAAACTTTCTCAGAAAAACAGAATGAGAATGGTAAATCATATTTACTTTTTAGTGTTAAGACCTGGTTGATCATGAATATTTGTGCATATGATGAAATCCTAAGGAAATTACTTGTTCAGAATTTCTGTTTAGAAGCTTCTCTTGAGGTTTGGATCTCATTTAAGTTATTCAGAAAAACATTAAGGCCCTGATCCTACAACTGGCCCTGTATCAGTAGGCCCCTGTACCCAGACATAACCCCATTAACTTTGGCCACAGCAGCGTGCCAGTGTGAAGGCAGTTGCAGGATCAGGAACAAAAACTTAAAGACTGGGAGTTTCATAATGGCCTAAGGGAGTCAGGAGCCAAAGTTCCAATAGGATTTGGGCTCCTAACTTCCTTAGGCACTTTTGAACTTTTCCCTCCAAACCACTTACTAAAATCACTGTATTAACTGCTAACAAATGCACAACTGCATGATCTTCTTAGTCCCATTTGATTCTTCAGGCTATTCTGCACTGTCTCAGATACTGATACTGTCGCTTTATACTACGTTTGGCCTTGAGCCATGGGAAAATCCCTTCATTTGACCAATCATTTTTGTAATGCAGAATACCCCAAAACGTAAGAAATGTGAATGGATTTTTGTTAATAGTTCTGCTTTAGGGACTGTCTACCGTAGAAAAGTAACAGTTGAAACATGTTTGTCAGACATGGCTATGGCCAACCCACCTTACAAGAGGATTGTTTCTTCCCAGTATGGAGTGGATAAAAGACATCCTAAGGCTTGACATTGGCCAAAAGCCTGTTCCCTAATATACAAAGGATTTCCTGTCCACCCTAGAAAGAAGAAATCCTATTATAATATAGTTTAGCCTCAGATGTCTCTAAACATGGTTATTTTTCTAGCACAGAGGATGGCCTTACTTGAAGCGTTCCCACAGAAAAAGATAGGGCCCAGATAAAGCTGTGATTTCTGTGTAGCTATAGATACACTACCTTGGTCCTACTGAGAGAGAGCTGCCTTTGCCAGCAGCTTTCTTTGCCAATCTGTGGAGATGCATTTTGGATGGTAGTCAGTAGCTGTCTTAGGGTTATCCTAGTGGAGTTACTATGACAAACCTCTGATTTTTCTCCACCATATAGGCTCAATATTTTGATGCGCTGTCACTTCCTTGGTTCTGGACATCAGTATTGTCCAATGCCAGATGCAGAGGGGTTAGTAGTAGATCAGAAAAATGCAACATTTTCATGAAGAAAAGAATGCAATTTCCACTACATTTCTTCTGGACCTCCGTCCACCCGCACATTTTTGACCGGCTCTAGTTTGGAGTCTGAGTGGTTGGCATTAGGAAAAAAATGTCTCATTTAAACCAAAACAGGGATTTATAGACTTTATCACAAGGGCTTACCACCTGCCTGACTGATAACTCCTACTTGCCGGCAGTCCCATTGCTAGCAGTGGGATGCACTCCAAGAAATGTGAACCCTGATATCCAGGAATCACTTTGGCAAATCTTTAACTACATGACAGGTTTGGAAACTCATCTGATCATACTCTTCTTTCACTGAAAATTTCCTTTTGTTATGTTTCTTGCAATAGTGTTCCATATATTTTAGGGTCAGTTTATGTTGTTAGGCCAATAAATATCAAAGCTCCTAAACAAACATCTATAAAATAACACTATGTAGCAGTTCATAAGGACTGTACAAGTTAGCTAGTAAAACATCCCCATGAGTGGTGGGATAATATTATTGTCCTCTTATTGTTTTTAGGCTGTCTGAGATGCTGACAGGTTAAATGACTCACACTCGGGCAAACAGCAAGTCATTAACGGAAACTGGAACTAGAACTCCAGAGATCTTGGTCCCAGATCTGTGCTCTAATGGTTGAAGTACAGGTGATTCATTTCTGGGTGGAGGTACTCAGTTTTCAGCTCACACTGATAGCACTAACCTCTTTCGCTTTTACACTGAATATTAGGAAATCACAACTCCATCAGTTCTAAGATTTCTCACCAGGAAATTGAAAATCGTACCAAAAATCCAGCTTCAAATCATTTAATCCCATAAACCCTGCTTCTGCCGTGGCAGGAGTTTTTATTGGTCTGGCCATTAAAATAAATAGAGTAAGAGGGACGTGCTGTATGTGGAATGGTCAGTACCAGAGGAATTAGGAATCTTCAACAGTCCAGAGGCCATATTTCATGGCAGGGGTTTTGCAGAAAAGTTTCCGTATTGTGTTGTGGTCTCTCCAATATAATGTAGGTCTTAGTTTGTCTCACCTTGCCTCCCCACCCCACCTAATTAATGGTAGCTGAATGGCTTATATTTCTCCATGGTATGTGTGAGGAACTAGAAAATAACAATGCAATTTACCTATTAGGTAAATTCTTCCAATTCCTTCACCAAAATCTTCCATGTTGGCACAATTATTTTAAATCGTGTTTTGTTTTGTTTTAAATGGGGGCCATATTATTCCCATGCAGAAGCCTTTAAGGCTGTCTTTGTGTAAGTGTCTGAAAATGAAAGGCTGCTCAGCAAATAAATTAAATCAGGCCAGCCAACTTCTGCTTAATAAGATAACCCTGGAAATTATATTCAGTTCCTAACCTTTCCAGTTCTTTCCAAGGTTTAATGTACTTACGTTGCAAGTATAAACACATCATTTACTATAATTCTCAACTTCAAGTCTGGGTTCAGGTAGGGACATGGCACCAAGATACCCCTTTTAAAGATTTATAACAACGTTTTGCTACTAAGATGAGTCTGGGGGCAGATCCTCAGCTGTTGTAAATTGTTACTGCTCCATTGAACAGTGCTAGGACAATTGACATCAGCTGAGGATCTGCCCCCAACACAGTGCTATATTTGTTTTCAGCACCATTGACCCTGGTGACCCTATTTTGGAATAGTTAGGGCAGATAGTGAGGCTGTGTTTCTACTCGGTCTAACTTCAAATAATCTTTTACAGCCTTAGTTACACATGCTAGTCGGATCAATAAATTTCTGGCTTGGAATCCCTGCTTTTCATTCTTCATCCAGTTCTCTCCTGCTTCAAGGTGCTATGAGTTAAGCTTATCTAGACAGAACAATACTGTGATTTGTGTCCATCCAAAATGATCCAACAGGACTTGAATTTCCTATTTCAGTGAATGAATGGCTTGGGAACAATCTATGGCCAAGAATTGTCTGTAGAAATTGATTAGTGCATAGTTTTGATTAGTGAATACATTTGTGAAAACTGTAAACTGCCCCTGGAGAATTCATCAATAGAATTAAAGAGGCTAAATGAATAAACTGCGATAGGGTAAGCTCTCAGCTCTTCACCTCTTTCCATATTTTGGCTCGTCATAATGGAGGGGATGGTGGAATTGTCTAACTCCGCCTCCCTGATTCTCTCCAGGGTGAATATTGTGTGACTACTTCCAGGAGGGTGTTGAGCCTTTTAAGGCATTTGATGCCCTTATCATTGGTGTTAGTTAATTTGCCAGATTGTGCCTTGCACTGGTGCAATCTAAGGTAGTTGAACTTTAAAGCCTGGATCATCTCTGACCAAGATACTCGAGCGCATTTGTAAAATGGATTCACTTTTCCCTTATGCTCAGTTGTGGCAATTAAGATCTGCTAGGCTGCTCTAAATATTGGCTCCCTAAAGTGTATTGTCCAGACACAGCAACAGGTCGCTGGGGACCCTCACCTCTGGCATCTGCTTCTTCTGGTGGCATGAGAGAGCCAGAATGTGACCATGCTCAGAGCCAGGCATAGAGCACACCAGTATACTTGGGCTTTGCAGTGGCTCCATTATGACAGAAACATCTGTTTGTTTTTCACTGTTCATTGGAAAGACCAATATTTCCTTTTCTCTGCCCCTCCTTCCCCCCACCAGGGATTTTGATGACCCTGATGTCATTCATAGCAATGGTCACAGTGTAAGAAAACCACTCAGCATTTCACAGCTGATGGTTAGTTATCATTAAGAAATGCAACTATTGAATTCTCAGCCATCATTCTGCTACATCCTGTGCATGATTCCTTTTGCATGCTTGCTTCCCACTCTACGTACAGTAGCTCATTTTGTGTGCCGGTGAGGCTGCTGCAAAGATGTGCATGGAACCTTAACAAAAATGAATGATATTGCATTAGAGATATACGTTCTCTAATGGTCAGGAACAGCTTCTCATGAGCGGGAACCAGTTTTGCCTGGTGGCTCTTTAAGCATGCTAGCATTTTCAGTCAGAGTTCTGTATTGATGTGCTGAACACCACTGCATATAAGAACACAGAAATTTTAATCACAGCTTCTCCAAATGGATTTCTTTGTTCTTTCTAATTCCAATGGTTTCAGCCTTTTGGCCATCTTTTCCTGGAAGAACGAAGACACAAACTGAGGAGGGTAGTTACAAAGAACCTAGGAAGTAAGAAGGAAGTCCATGTACAAAGGCTGTACGGTTTCATTTTGTACCCAGAGTGGTGTACAGGCAATAGAATGAAAGCCACTCAGTGAGTGAATAATTGACAATCAGTGTGATTTCTGTGTGAAAGCGTTGGCATACGATTTATTGGAAACCTTTTCTCGCTAATAAAAGACATCCTCATCTATTGGATGGTACTAACAAGGAATAATGGAATTGGATATTGCTTGATGTTATATAATGATCAATGGTGGGATGATATGTTAATGAGAGCGCTTGGGAGCAGTTCTCCTTGTACAAATTGTTTCTTTATCCAGTTAGTGGAAAAGCGTCGTCTCTTGTTCAGATTTTGTACGTACTTGTTTGTATCCCCCCAAAGCCCATTGGAGTAAATGAGATTTTCCACTGACTTGGATGGACTTTGGCTCTATCCCCTACACCCACATACTTGTGTGCCTCCATGAAGATATCCATGTGGCTTTTTTCTTTGTTTCTAAGTTGGGCTGACCTTGTCTTAGAGAAATCAAGCACTACAGGTACTTGCATAAATATTCTTTAAAATAAATTGGCCATCAGAGACCAAATTTAGCTTTGATGTACATCCCATGAAACCCGATTAAAGTCAAAGGAGTTACACCAAGAATATGTCAGTGCAGAATTGGCCCTGTTCTATGGAATGTGCCTTAAAATCATGAGACCCTATATTGCAACCAATGTGATGTATAATAAAATGTATATTGTAAGTAGTTGTGCATGCTGGAGAAACTAGACCTGTCACACAGCCATACTTTGCAGAATAATATCTAATAATCTAACTTGCAGAGCAATTGCAAAATCACCTAGGAAGGCTCCCTGAGTGATAAGGGATATCAATAACAAACTAACAAGCCTTTTAGCTCCATATTCTAAAACTTGTAAGAGAAAAAAATAAATGTTTGGCCTTTAAGTTTATTTTGTTGGCACTTTAAAGTATAAGTATAAATGTGGTACATGACATTTAAACAAAGGACTTCTTTCAAAAGAGACTGATGAGATGTTTTATAGTCACGTTATAAAAAGAGAACACATACGTGCCCCACGTAACTTTTCATTCGTTTTTCCAACATTGCCCAATATGTTTGATATGAATTCACAAGAAATTTCAGCAGGTGTTAATTAATCACACTTAACTTCTACTGTTTGCAAAGATTAACCCTAAAACAAGTTAACACCACTGTTTATGCTAACAGTGCAAAGTATCTATAAAGGGACACCGTCAACTGAAGATGACTTTTTCCGTCCAATAATCTTGCACTGATGATCGCTGCAAGAAACGTGAGAGATAACTATCACTTAAAGAAAGTTATAAAAAATTTTTTTTTCAATTTGTTTAGCTTGTGCATATGATAGAAATGATGTGTCCAGTCAATCAGTAAGGCCCCAGTCTTGCATTGATCCTGCACTGACTTTGTGAGGGGGCTCTGTACAGGTGCAGTGGTTCATCTATGCAGTGGCCTCTCATTTCTCCCTTGTTGAATAGATTCTTATAAACATGAATAGGGGAATGAAAATTATAATTTTATTAAAGGATTTTTTTTGAATCCAAGACATGCTTATGAAAGCTGGATCTCAGAAAGTGGATGTTTTTGCAATTACTCATTTTCTAAAAGTCCAAGTTTATGTTGACCCCTTAAGATAATTCTTCAAAGCACTATTGTGATCCAGCTAATGACAAAGTGAAGACTCTGGTGTAGGATATTAGGTGGTAACTAACCTTTTTAGGATTTGTTGGGGGTTATTTGGCTCTGTTAAGGAAGATTAATCTTTGTTTCTGATTTCTGTTTACTTAAACTTCCAGAAAGTAGAAATTGTAGATGCTACATGTTAGTTTTGTTTTTGTTGTTCCTATAAAGGGAACATACAAAGTTTACTGAAAGATTCTTTTCCCACAGTAAACATTTTTTTAGTTCATCACTGTGCCTTTCCTAAAACAAACCAATGATTATACAGTAAAATTGACTATGACTACTGTCTGGATTTCCTTTAAATATGAGGATCAAAAAAGGGGAAATGTTCCGAATTGGAAAAGTTTGTGTGTTAATCTTAAGAACAAGTATTTAACCAGTCATACTTTTTTCAGAATGCCTAGAATGTGATATGGCTCTTTGCATAAGACTGTCTTATCCAGTTTTGAGTGGTCAGGCATCTTACTTTTGTTTCCAACTATCTGGAGTTTTAGATAAATCTGCAAAAATGTGCTTTTCTGAAGTAAATTTCTAAAGAAACTCTTTGGTATTCTGGAGCAAATGTATTTATCAGTATATGTAAGAATTAATTTGGTATTTTCACAATTGCATTGTGTATGTTGTAGACTTTTCAGTGTTTGTCGATACAAAACATCTGCGGAAAAATTAAACTTGAATTGTTTCAAACAAATAATGACCGTTTTTAAAAAGGCTTGGGACTCTCTTCTGAAACTACCTGCACAGTAGTAGCTAGAGAACTAGTTAGGCATACACAGAATGGGCTCCCCACCATGTTTTTCAGTGAATGTTCATATTTAAAACAAATACAACCCTCGTGAATTGTAATGGGCCCAGTTCAGCTTGGATCTAAGCTCACTGACTTCAGTGGAGCTATAGCCATTTGCAGCACTACATGTTTGTACTGAGCTATGTCTTACACCCTGTGAACACAAGGACTTGAAACTCTTGCAGAAGGTGCAAAAGCTTCTTCCTCCTCTCCCCAGGTGAAGGGGAAATGACCTCTAGAGGTCCTAACTGGCCATGGGGAAGTTTTCTGGCCTGAAAGAGGCCTGATTCGCTGTTGCCCTTTCTATTACATGTCTGATTGGGACCACCTTGTCTGCTATCCAGAGGGGTTAGACTGACTGCTTTCTCCTGTCTGCTGCCCATCAGCCCAAGGAGCATGCTGATCTGTTTCTCCTGACCAGGGGACGCACACTTTCAGCCCTCTGCAGAGAGCAGACTGGTGCAGGCAGGAGAGAGACGGGGTCAGGGCTGCCCATGCAGCCTGTGATGGAAACTTCAGGGTCAGGCTTGGGGTGAGTGGGAGTGCTTGGTGCCTGCTGACCCTATATTTGTTGAACCTTTTGTATAAAATGAAATGAAAAATCAAAGAAACCATCCATTAAATAAAACTAAAATAAATAAAACAGAAAAATTATACTATAAAATTCAACAAAATCTCAAATAAAGCACTACGAACAATATATTACATTAACTACATGTATGGCAGTATGAACTGCCATATGGGGTGAGGGGGGAGAGAAAAAAACCCAAGCAGCTGACTCCAAGTAACCACTCATCTCAAGAGGATGCTGAGAGCAGGAGGTGTCGGGAGTCAAAATCAGCCAGGGAGGAGGCGGTAACACGCACAAAGCCTGGGAGGCAGGCTGAAGGAATGCCAAGGAGGAAAAACAGAAAGGGGTAGGAGGAAAGGCAGTTGCCTTGGGAAAAAGTTACTGAGTCTGGGGAGGGTTGGGCATAGGTGGGCCTGCCTCCCTAGAAACTTTGAACTCACTAGAGAGGTCAGTGAACTTATGGGGAAATGGGACTAAAGACTCTGGGTGTACAAGATAAACTAAATACTGATACACCCCGTTATAAGTATTACTACGGGGTCTCTCACACACACACACACACACACACACCACTAAGCATGCTGCAGTGGAACAATTGCTAAAGCTTTCAGAGAGTTAGCCGTGTTAGTCTGTATCAGCAAAAACAATGAGTTGTCCTTTTGGCACCTTAAAAACTAACAAATTTATTTGGGCATAAGCTTTCGTGGGCTAAAACCTACTTCATCAGATGCATGGAGTGGAAAATACAGTAGGGAGGTATAATACACAGAATATGAAAAGATGGGAGTTGCCTTATCAAGTGGGGGGTCAGTGCTAATGAGCCACTTAAGGTGGAAGTGGGCTATTCTCAACAGTAGACATGAAGGGGTGGACATCACTTTTGTAGTGCTAATGAGGCCAATATAAAGAAGGTGGCTCATTTCAAACAGTTGACAAGAAGGGGTGAGTATCAGCAGGGAGAAATTAGTTTTTGTAGTGACCCATCCACTCCCAGTCTTTATTCTGGCCTAATTTGATCGTGTCCAGTTTGCAAATTAATTCCAGTTTCTGCAGTTTCTCGTTGGAATCTGGTTTTGAAGAAGTTTTTTTGTTGAACTCCCATCTTTTCATATGCTGTGTATTTATACCTCCCTACTGTATTTTCCATTCCATGCATCTGATGAAGTGGGTTTTAGCCTACGAAAGTTTATACCCAAATAAATTTGTTAGTCTCTAAGGTGCCACAAGGACTCCTCATTGTAATTGCTAAAGCGAGGTTTAGCCGATTGCCAATACTCGTCTTCCCCAGTTCTAATTTCTTAAGCATTAAATAAAAGATTTGGTCGTTACTGATATCACAGCTATGGTATTTCTGTGATTTGCTGCTGTGTATATGCAACTTAAAATGTGTCAGTGCTGAAATAACAGACATAGAAATGAACCATTTAAAAAATCTTATTTGGTGTCTTGCTTGCTGTCGCACTGAGAGCGATGAGGGCAGTTGAAAAGGATTGATTGTCTTGTTTGGGTAAAGTAGTTCTTATCAGAGAATCATATTGTGCTGGGTCCTAGAGCCTAAGCTTATGTTGTACTTTTTACAAAATGCCATTAAATTGATAAAGAAAAACCCTAACAAATGGGACTTAATTGGTGTCAATGAGTGATGCAGATGGAAGATTACTTGAGTGTTTAACTGCTACCCAAACATCACCTCATTAGTTCTGTTTTTAGTATTCTGTGTATCCAGCACTGATCTGGTAGTCCAGACGCCATTTTGTAGTCTGCTTGTTATGCCAGTAATTGTCAGCAGTGGTAAACAAAGTACCAGAAATGATTAAGTGTGGGGGGGGGTAGATATAATTTTATTGGGACAAAAGATTTCATGTAAGCAAGATGCTGGCTACTCAGTTTAGTTTTAACAAGATGTGTATTGCTTTAAGTGGCTGGCCGCTTGTGTACCTGCACAGTACAGTGATGCACGCTGTCAGTGAGCCCCACAGCACTGGGGAATGTAGCACAGGTTTACCACGATCCCAAGTCTGAGGGGATCTGGATCTGGGATTTTGACTTGGCCAATTATAGAGGTCGGCCCTCCATCTAGGACGTTCTGATCTGGATCCAGATAAGCATGTCTCCAAAATGTAGAGCTGTCTCTACTAGGAATTAGAGGCAGTACTGGTAGCGATGCCAATAATTAAGGCTGCCCAATGCTTTCCATTATAAGACCCTATTTCTAGATGCTTATATAAATATATGCTTATCTTGAAGAGGAAACAAGGTAAATTAATGTAAACAAAAATAAGTTAGCTGGGGTAGAAGCATATTATTCAGTTCAAGACCTGCCTGTAGAAGGAAGGCTATCGAACTAATTCAGAGGAGAGAGATTCCATATTTAACTACAGTCTGGGGTTGGACTATCAGTTCAGGACTGTATACTCCCTACTGTCCACAACAGACTTTCCATTGATGTCAAAGGGAGGTTTGCACAAAGAGCAAGGAATGAATGCAGCCTTTATGTAGTTATTAAACTTCATGTATTGTTGATGTGGTACCTTACTATGTCACACTCAGTCTGAAAATATGGTGCCCTTTAGGCAGTTCGTTATCTGTCCACGCTCAAATACTATCCAAGCCATAATACTTGTGTTATTTCCCATTAGGAGGAATAGATCACTCCCATCAGTTCTTTATGTGCTGACTTTTCCAGCTTCTCTCTGGCATAATCTTTAACTCTACCTGTTTGATACCTAAAATGGACTTCACTTTCCAAGACAGTCAACCTGGCACCTATACAGAAAATTGCATCCCCTTAAATACATTTAATTTAAATACAGTCAATATGTACAAGTACAGTATAATTCCAGTTATCCGAATTACCTTTATCTGAAAATTAACTGTCCCCCATGTAGCCCTATGTTGGTTACTCACCTGCTAATAACTTCTCAATTAGCCTCTTTGCATCTGTTAGCCTTAATCACTGACTTTGTATTTGTATAGCAGTTCTGAGCAGTTACCTAATCTTGTTTCAGCAACAACAGCTTGGCAGGGCAATGTCGAAAAGAAAAAGATCTGTGTTTGGATCTAAAGCAGAACCCACAGATTCTCAAGAATTCTCTATTAAGCAACATCAGCATTACTCCCTTCATTCCCTGTATTTCTATACCCGTGAAACTGCAGCTCAAAATAGATCAAACCTTATGATAAATTGCATTTATCAGGGCTAGTCATCCGTCTCTGCTAGGGCTACTACTAATGCTTTAAGCATTTTCAACCATCTGTCAACTCTATGAAGAAAATAAATTAAACAATCTGACGGTTGTTTTTCTTCTATCCCTCGACATTTGGTATTTCCTCTCACATCTACATTCATCTGTGATGATCAGTCCTGGACCAAGGCAAGTTTAAAGTCTAGTATCTCATGAGCTGTTAGGGCTAGGAATATTTAGAAAGTGAGAAACCTCTCCCCTTTCCACAAGTAGCTTTTGTTTTTAGCCATGGTAGAGCCCAAGTTATCAGACCTCAACTGTGTCACTGGCCAGGGATTCACTATTGCCTTGGTTGGGCATTGGGCCAACTCAATTAAGTTCTGAAATATTGTTTTAAAGAGATTTCTATATTTCATCAGTTATTTCATTTCCTTTGAGGTCTGCTGTTAGGCCAGGCTTTATAGAGAACTGGATATGAAAATAGTACCAATGTGTCTTAAATGAAAAGAAAAACAAAAACCCTCTGATAATTTTGCTGTACAAATACCCAAGTACACCTACATCACATAGTAGCATGGTACAAAGATTTTATTGGCACATGTTTGAGATGCTAATGAATTATTAAGGGTGTCTTTATCAGTCCTCAGTAAAGTGGGCATCAAAATTGTTCATTCTTTAGTACTTTCTTTCAGATTATGCCTTTGGTTATTGCATGGATCTGAACTGACTTTGCTATTGCAAAGAACGTCCTGCATTTTAGTATCAAATGTTATTAAAGAGAGTTAACTCTAAAGATTCATGTGGCACTTTTACTCAATTTACATTTGTTTTGAGATGTATAGCAAACAGCAACCAAAAAATCAAATAAAAACAAAAACCTTTTTAATTTCACAGACATGTATTTATAAACAGTAGGACACTGAATGCTAGAAGCACACCTTCTCAGACATCAGAATTTCCTAAATCCTAGTTTCCATGACCTGCTATAAAATCTTATTCGCATTCAGGAACCCAGATGCTCTCTTTGTTTGTCATGATACCATTTGGGCTCCTGCAGCAGATTAAAATGCTCCATGTGCTATATCAAGTCCACAAAACAATGACTGTGGATGATAATCCTGTTTAGTCAAATCCATTACTCCTGGGGGAATTCTGTGCCAAAAAATTAAAAATTCTGCACCCAATAGTTTAAAATTGTGTGTATTTTATTTGTCAAAAATAACAATATAATCACACCAGTTTTCATTATTTTGGTCATTTAAATACCCATCAGCAACTGTGTCTGTGCCAATACAGACAACAAAAAAGATTCAGGAAATGTTTTTTAGACAAATTGATTCCTTACAAGACATATTGATACAGAACTCTGAGTAATAATTAATTTAAACTACACTACAGAACTGTTGCCTGTACCCCTCAGAAACAGTGCAAAGGCTGAGGGAGGTCAGAGAGGACCTGAAGGAGGGGGAAGTAATTGCCAGGAAGGAGCCTGGCTGTGAACTTGGAGGGTTGTTGGTGTGGGTAGGAAAAATATGAAATAGGTTTTTTTAGGGGGTAGGGAGTGATTTGTTAGGGAGCTTCGCCCATGCAGCTCCTGGCTGACCCTTAGCCTTTCCCATTCAGTCAGGCCATCTGTCTCTGTCCCCATATGTCCCTCCAACCCCACTCAGACACCCAATCCCCATGTGTCCCTGCACCCCTTCTCCATGTGTCTCTGCACCCCCTCCCCACATGTGTGTCTGTGCCCCCACTCAGCCACCCCCTTTTCCCATGTGGCCCTGCACACCTTCAGCCCAGTCCCATGTGTCCCTCCACCCTCCTGCACTCCAAACCCCTCAGCCCCAGCCCTAGTCCCCCTCTTGCAGGCTGGCCCACCCCAGAACCCTCACCCCACTGCACCCCAACCTCCTGCCCCAGCCTGGAGCCCCCTCCCACACCCAAACTCACTCCTGGAGCCTGCACCCCCATCCTTGAGCCCCCTCCCACACCCAAATGCCTTCCTGAACCCCACTGCCCTCTGAACCCCTCATTTCTGGCCCTACCCTGGAGTCTGTACCCCTTCCCACACCCCAACCTCTGGCCTCAGCTCGGAACCCCTCCCACACACTGAACCACTTGGCCCCCAACCTGGAGCCCCCTCCTGTACCCTGAACCCCTCATTTGTCTGTATCCCTTCCTACTGCCGCACCTCAGAGCCCCTTCCCACACTCCAAACCCCTCAGCCCCAACCCAGAGCCTGCCCACCCCAGCCAGTGCCCTCACCCCATTCTGTGCCTCAACCCAGTGAAAATGAGCGAGTGAGAGTCGGGGAGAGCGAGTGTCAGTGGGAGGGGGCTTGAGTGAGCGGGGGGGGGGGCAGGGCCTCGGTGCAGAGGCGGTTTTGTGTGACTAGAAAGTTTGCAACCCTACTCCACCCCGCTGTGGCCCTCAGCCTCCACCCTCATTCAGCCCCAAACACAAGCTGTCCTCCCCCACTAGCCCTTATGAACCCACCTGTGACCCCCCCCCCCCCAGCAACCGCATGCTGTCTGATTCCCTGTCTCCTGACTGGCACTGGGAAGAAGGCAGGTTCATTCTCTTGCCTATGGTAGCTGGGGCTGGCTGGGAGTGGCTGCTCAATTCTAGTGCCACAGTGCCCCCTGGTGGGCAAAAGTTATTTTTGGTGGGTAGAAAAAAAAGCACGCAGTGGCGCAGAAGTCCCCCAGGAGTAATATATGAAGATGTATGTTAACAGCCAGAAGTGTCTACAGTCCCCCGACTGCCTTTCCCTCCCCTGGAGTATTTGCTTTTCACACAACTGTTAGTACAGCTAATAAAGTATTTTACAAGCACTGATGCTGGAGCTACATGGAGAAAGAAATGCCGCTTGTAAAGGGTGGGAGCATATTCCCTAAATGAAGTGGCATAATGTCTTGCCACTGAAAACAGTGCCCTTTTCAGCAGCTGGGCATCGAGGCAAACAAGAGACCAAGCAGCTCATTAGAGCATTTGTTTGCAAGCACATGCCAATATTAGCGGGCAGGGCGCATGAAACAACTTCTGGTCTGGTACCTGACAGCACCTGCCATTACTGCTCCAGCTTAACGCTTCATTAAGTAGAGGTGAGAAAAAAAAAACAAAAAAACCTTCAGTAGCAGCACAAAGCTGCTCCACGGGAACCCTGTCGTGAAGGGGCATCCACATGTTCCAAGTGACTGGCTCTATGCGAACCACTCCTGACGTAGGGGAGGTGCTTGGGGCTGTGCAGGGGCCAGGCGTGGGCATGTCTGGCGTGCCTTGTGTGCATCCCCACCCAGGTGAACGGGGCCTAGCGGGAGCTCTAGAGCCGCAGTAAGTTAAGCAACCCTTGCCCCCACCAGAACTTGGAGCAGGCTAAGAGCCACCTTCCCTTCAGCCTCTCTGTTGCGTGAGGCCTGTGCTAACTGTTGTTGAGACACATACTCAGAAAGTAATCAAACTATTCAAGACATAGCTGGAGCAAGACGGAGTCCTAAAGAGACCACAACTCTTTACAATGGATGCACTTAAAAATAAAGTAAAAATAAATATATTCTAAATAGAAGAAGAAAAGAGTTTACAGTGTTTTCACTATGATTTTTCCCTTCGATGGACTATTTTCACAGTAGGCTGCTGTCATAAATAACGTACAGTGTAAACCTTAGTGGACGCTTTGTGAGAGGTTTAAATTAAGGAGCCACATGATAAAGGCATGTGAGCACGTGCAGCCCTGAGACACTGTTTCACTTCTGAAAGTGCATGCAGGTACTTGGCCCAGAGTGCCCCAATGGTCAAGGAATGCATTTCCTGTTGTGTCGTATATATTAATTAATTACTGTGACAGCAATGTGGTTGAAAAAGGAATTGGTCATTCGTGTTGTCCCTGCAGATTGCCTTGCCGGTTAGGTGAGAAGATACTTACCATCTGCTTCAGCGCAAAAGAGAAGCTACGAAACTTAACACGTTCCTCTCCATCTTCCTAAATAATCTGATGCAAATGGTCTTGTTTTCATAACTGATAGCTGTCAAAGGCAGCAGGTAGGCTCGAGGCAGGAAGTCCATTCCTAATACTGGCAAGGCAGGACACTACAGTGCAGCTAACATTTCAGAGGAAGAGGTGGTTATTCAGAGGCAGTAATCACACAGGATTAAGTAAAGACAGAGTGTGGATATTGGAACAAAATAATCTTCTGTTCCCATTCATAGCAGTCTCTAGCAAGCATGTGCTGGAGGTAATAATGGAGTAATTTAAAGAAGGCCATTAGCTTCCAGTTCAGGTGGTGGTGCTGGAAATGGAGAAGATAAATGTGGGTCAAAAACAAAGAACACAGGTGTGAGAGTTTGAGGACTCTTGCTATAGCCACACATGGTGGTCCCTATTACTCAAGTCCCTTTGTGTTTCGCTTTCTCAGCATGCCTACTGCATCCATATCATTGGCTTTTTGGCTTTTCAGTCCTGCATTTTCGTTGTCAGAATCCATGGAGAGATCATCTTTGGCTGTGTCTTCAGCCTCACTGCAGCTGTCAGCATGGAACCCAGCATTCTCTGCGATGACAGCAGGATCATCCTCTTCATAGTGGCAACAGTAGCACTTCTCAAAGTTATGGCTGTGATGGAGGACACCACCTTGGTCACTGAAGCTGATCTGCTGGTCCTTTTTCTGTCCTATATCATGGCTTTCACACTCTGTAGTGAGAGCAGACAGTAAAGTTTCACTACACAAATAATCCTCATCTTCCATAACCTCCATTCTTTCAGCTATCTCTTCAGCAGAGGGCTCGTTTAGATCAGGGTAATCCACAAGGATTGTGTCCTGTCTACTCTTGATGCATTCAGAATTATCATAGACAGGATAGGTCTCTTCTGGATAACCTTAGGAACAAAAGTGACATGAACCTTAAAATATTAAATCCAGTTTTAAAATAGACCATTCTGATACAACAACCACGCTGACAAATCTGTTCAAGGAATTTAGAGCTTATCATAAGAATGTTAAAGTCTTATGAGAGCAACAGTTCGCTTTTACTCTGCTTAGGCTCCCTAAAGTACAGCTAATTCAAATTAATACCATCCCAAACTTGTAGGGGATGGGGTGAAATCTTGGCCCCTTTGAAGCCAATGGCAAAATTCCCATTGACTACCATGGGGGGTCCGGATTTCCAACAGATTTTCAAAAGCACTCCACACCCACCACTGGGGCTAGATTGAGAGCTATGGGAGCTGCTAGGTGACAATATTTTGAAGATCTTGCCACTGATCTTTAAGTAAATACATTTCTGAATACCTCAGTGCCTCTCTAAGACATGTTTTGAAGACCTCGGATCTAGAATTAAACAACGTCCTTTACAATGTTGGATAACTAGATAAAACCGAATGCTTTTGTTTATTTCATTTTTTTAAAAAGCATCAAGAACTGGACTAAGAAAGCAGAGCTTGAGGCTACCATTTATGTTCTGGACGATTCTGAAAGCTTCCTAAAGGGCAAAAAATTAAGTCTACAATAAAAAAAAAAAAAGCCTTTAGAATTCAACAACACCATCAGGATGTTTTTAAAACACCATCACACAACACAACAATGAGAAATCAAAAAGAGTTTAAAAAGCAGAATTTTAGAAAGACAGAACTCCTGGAGTTAAGTTCTCCAATTATCTTTACAATATTAGAGCAAGCAAAGAAACAAAACCAAAATTAAGTAAATAAGGCAAAATATATTGGTTCTTATTTCTGTGGTATAACGCTGAAGAAAATAAAACCTGGCCAAATGAAGAAAAGCACAGAAATAAATCTATGTCAGCCAAGACAAAGTATCAACTGGCGTGTACTCAAGCTCATCTGCCAATTCTGGCAGCAGATACTGTGTTATCCAGGCAATGTGAAATGCTGGATAGTTCAAAATCCATTTGCTCATTAATATAATTGGAAAACGTATCCTTCTTGTAAAGTCTTGGAGGCCACCTTTCTTAAAAGAAATGAGGCAACTGTGCAGGAGTCTGTTTGCATTGGGGGATCGGGGGCGGGGGAAGGGGGGGAGATTCTCCAGTTCTGGCAAAACCATTTTGTTCAGATGACAGTAAAGAAGAAATAAAAAACCGCATTTACCTTCCCAATCCTCCATATAAGGAGCTTCTTCAGCTTCCTTCTCTGGGGAGATGCCATCTATGAGTTTACCTTCCTTCATGACCCTAGTGATCTCTCGGAGCTGCTGGAGTAATCTCTTTTCCTGGTCTGTTGTAACATTTTGGGCCCTGCTAGAAAACATCAAACACCTATCCTGAAGGAGTCTGGATGGCAATATTATCAGTATTTAATATTTGTGTACAATAGGATGGTCACAACAAGCAAGAGGGACAGGAGAATGCCATATGCAAACTAAAGTTATGAAGTTGGTGGAGAATGCAGCATGGTAACTCTAAAGGCTATTTTTTTAAAGATGACTAAGACTTGGTAGATCCTTGGTTGAGAAACTACAGGAAAATGCATGTCCTGTCATGTTGCTTCATTCAGGACCTACACTGAATTTCAAATGACACATGACACAGTGTATGTAGCACTCCATGACGACTCCTCACTGACAGTGTGGGCAGCTGCTCAAGCAGCTCCTTAATTGTTGCTTTGACAGTATTGGGTTCTCATTGGCCAGTTAAAGTATTTTATTTGCAGACTGACAGCCATCATTAAGCCAGTTGGCCAGCAACATAATGTCATCATCAAACGGCACAGGCAGGATAGCTCCATTGGGCAGGAGGGAGAGATGAAAAATTAGGGTGTTTTTGTGTTTAACCTTAACGGTGGCATCTGGATTTGGGGTGAGAGAAATGAGGTTATGTTAGGATTAAGTCAAAAGTATAGTCTCTACTGGCATATCATTTCATATCATTTATTGATATATTTTATTATCCAGTGAATACAAGCTCTTTGCTATATAACTGCTCATTGTACAGTAATCTCAGTCTGCTCAGGGGAAAAAAATATTCAGGCAGCAGGCTTTTCATATGCCCACCCGTTGCTTGAAACCAAGTGATTCATTGTTTCTGTCATCAGGTTCTCCCATGCTGATTAAATGCCATGAACAGAGAAGCAGTTGGTCTGAGCAAACTATTTTTGTTACTGTCTTTCGAAAAACAGATAAACATACAGCACAGCTGTGATTTAAAAAAATTTGGCGTGATTATGATATAATTTATACTGGTGTAAGGCAGGAATCACTCCACTGAAGTCAATGGCAGTGTGAAATTGGAATTGGGCCTCTGGTAAAACTGTCGGAGTGGTCAGGGATCGCGGGTCAGATGCTGTTCTCAGCTATGTAGGTGTAAAGCCACTGATTTCATTTGAAGTACTCTGGATTTAAACTGTATTACTGTGACTCAGGAACCTCTTTGTCCCAGCTAGGGTGCATAAGGGTACAGGGATCTCTGGGTCTGGGCTCTACATTCTAGTTTGCCAAAGATATGTTATCTAGGTCTGAGAGTTAAGGAAAGTCACCCAAAGGGGAACCTCACACTCCTGTTAGGCAGCGAGGAAGAGATGCTTATGCAAATTGAGTACTGTATGGTTCACAATGGATGCCCATTTACAGTCTGAGTAAAATGTTAATAGATTTGTGGGGAAAAAACAGGGTTTATCCTGTGTTGGAGCAAAGACAATGAACTTTTGGAAGTACATCTGAGGTGCAAATAAACACCTGCTTGTCCTTCATCAATGTGAAACAAGTTGCCACAGGACTTGACTTCATGAAAGAAGGCTCTCAGCTATCCTAGCTGAAAAACGCTGTGAGAAAGAGTTTGGGGGTAAGCAGTACCTTATTTGCTAAGAGAGCATTGTGTGAGTTGAGTGTAGGCTGTAGAATGTGTGTTATGATTTTATTTGCTATACCTCAGTTACCAACACCAGAGTTAGGAACTGACCAGTCAACCACACACCTCATTTGGAACCAGAAGTATGCAATCAGGCAGCAGCAGAGACGCTCAAAAAAAAAAAAAGGCCAATACAGTACAGTGATGTGTTAAATGTAAACTACTAAAAAATAAAGGGAAATTTTAAAAAAAGATTTGACAAGGTAAGCAAACTGTTTCTGTGCTTGTTTCATTTAAATTAAGATGGTTAAAAGCAGCCTTTTTCTTCTGCATAGTAAAGTTTCAAAGCTGTGTTAAGTCAATATTTAGTAGTAAACTTATGAAAGAACAACCACAACATTTTTGTTCAGAGTTTCGAACATTTCAGAGTTACGAACAACCTCCATTCCTGAGGTGTTCATGACTCTGAGGTTCTACTGTATTACCCTTTCCCCCCCAGTATTTCTGTTTGCTATCATATGACTCTCTATTCATTGTTAAATAAACTTACATTTGTTATTCCTATAAACAACTCTAAATGCTGTGTGTTAAGCTATGGTGTACTGTTCCTCTGGGAACAGCAGGCCTGGTAACTCAGAGTGTCCAGTGGAACAGGGGCTGGACACTGCAGCAGGAGACTGGACTCAGCGGTTGGAGCGTGCACTCTATATGCCAGCCTGCATACGGGACAGCAAGCCTGCATGGGCTGAGAGGGGAGTGCTTTGTCTTGCCTGTGACTGGGAGAGTTAGGGATTTGACCCTAGCTAGCCAGCATAGACAGGGCTCCCTCTCGCGATGGGGCAGGTAATAGCAAGGTGCCCCACAACTGTGGGTACCTCTGGGTAGCATCGCAGTGACGGAGATCAAAATTTGGCCATGTGAGTAACAGAAGATATTGTTTTTAAGTATTCCTGTAAGATGAATGTCAAACCTAATAGGGGCGCAGTGCCTGAAACCAGCACACAGTTGGGGATGCAGGGCTCTCTCCGTGGCTTCCTTGCTCTGCACACAACTTTCACTCTGGTATATCTGCTCTGGGAAATATGAGAGCTGCGAGCATCAGTTGAGAGCTTCCAAATATGGGCCAAATGGATGCTTGACAACATGCTGTATTTTTTTCTTCACTGTCACCGCACATCCCCCACCTCGTGTACACACTCTTACTGGCAGAAGACACCTGTACGCCACTCAGATTCCTACGATAGTTGAAATTCTCCACGCAGTCAGACACTAGAAAACGGGCTGTTTACAGAGCTGATGGATTTTATGATCGTGCTACTTTCTCATTTTTACTTGGATTTTAGCAATGGAACTGGAACTTCCAAACAATGGAACAATTGTTGTTAACCAACAATGGGCAGCCGTTCTGACAGACAGTAGAAAACTTCCAAAGGGCAAGTCTTTATGGACTTGACAAGTCTTGTTTGATAAAATTACCCCATCATGCTATAAATCAGATAGGGCAAAATTCCACCTCTGGGTTTCATTGAACTCTGATGGCAGAATTCGCTCCATAAAATTGATCTGGGTCTGAAATCACAAGTGATAAATATCTGAAGTGTGCAGTTGTGAAATTTGAAGACATGTATTTGAGATTACTGTTACGTATCATACCATATGAAATGGGTTTTGTCAGTTGTCTACCCTGGGCTGTGGATGAAATAGAACTGCCAGCCCAGTCCCCCTTTTCCAGAGACAAAAAATATGTAAACTGAATAAATATCACCTTGAGACAGCAGCCAGCCACCGACAGCCTACGTGAATCTGTGCTGAGGCAGGGTCCTAGCACAAGGAAAAGTCTATTAAGAGGTGTTCAGCACTCTATGCTAATTGTATTTGAAACTCTTGAATAAGGCTCTATAGTGTGGCTTTAAATGTCTTGCTCAGACAGTGAAATTCACCACTATGCAGAGGTGCAGCACAAGTCCTATGCACTATTTACATCCCACCAAAGCCCTCAAACTAGAACTTAAATGAAACTTAAATGCTGCATACGCTATGTGATGGTCTTCGGTCCAACGAGACTTTCACCCAGGATACACTGAATGCCTGGACACTGCATAAGAGGAGGAGGAGGCAGACTGTTCGCACTGGCATTTCAGATCATTTCAGAGAATGGCAGTTGTTCATTTTTGCTGTGCATGCTTTTAGCGCCAAAAGAGCGATTACAATTTATCATGTCAATGAAGCACATGCTGCATTGTGGAATCCCAAAATACTCATTGGCAGGTAGAGCAATGTTTTTATATACTTACACTGAGATCATAACAGTTCCTAAGGAGCTATCATGATTGCTATGAAAATCCGTAATCGGAGCTTTTGGTCTACATCCTCTTAAAATAGCACCATTAAAGCACAGCTATAGGTTGAAAAGAGACTGTAAAAATGGCTCCATGGAGTTCTATATTTATTCCCTCTCAATTTCCACAGCACATTTGTTCAGTTTATGGTAAAAAGATGTTTTTTTCTAATTGCCATCTCTGTCAACGAGACTTTGTACCTCAGAATGAAGTTGGGTCATTGCTACCTCCTACCTAATAATCAGAAATAAAGATTTTGCAGCTGAACATTAGCTGACAATTTCATTGATGCACAAGCCAGAATAAAATCCAGCTCTTTAGTTGCATTGACTCGGCACTGTTGAGAGAAAATTAGATGGTTGTTATCAATAAACAGATAAGCTCTCCAGCTCTCTGAGTCCTAAGTTTGAAACCTGGGTTCTGAAATGAGAGCCCAAATGTAAGCGTTAGGGAAATTCAAGACATCACTTAGCATACGGGTGTAGCAAATAGATATTTGGGCATCTTAGGGCCCACCTGAGTGGAGCCACTAGTTGTTAGAGTCAGACATCCAAGTCTGAAAAGCGAGCCCATTGGCGCAGATATGCTGAAGAACAACATACCATTTTTTACATTCTCTTTGCTAACTATAATTAAACAAAAGAAGAAACAAAACTACCTAAGACTGAAACAAATTTAAACTGAAAAACTATGTCAAATGAAAAGTAACTTGCAAATACAGTTTCTTATCCTGCACAGCTGCTCCCTGTGTCAGTCAGACCTGTTTCCTTCAGTGCAAAAGGAAGATTTTATTATTTGCTATACTCATTCCCGCACAGCTACACTGCTTTAGGAAAGACAGATGGATTCTTTGCTGGTTTGTGCATCAACAGAATTTTTAACTAAGTTCCAACTGTAGGGCCACCAGCTCAATGTATGCAAATTATCCCTAGTTACACTTGTACAACCCCACTGAAACCAATAGGTTTGAGGGATATAACATGAGGCCAGTGGGGTTGCACAGGTGTGACTGGGGGCAGCATTTGACCTATAAAAGCTTTCCTATTGGTTATGATGTGGTAGCCTGAAAGACCTTAACTTGACCTTCAGATCCCAGGCTGAGTTTGTAGGATGAAAATCTTCTTTAATTGTAACCTGAGCAAATTTGAAAATCACTTTTCAGAGTGAAACTTCACTTTAAGTTCTTGCACAATATACTGCATGTGGTGAGGCACAAGAGGGTGAGTAAATGAGTGTTTTACACCGTCCTTTTTGAGAATTAAAGACAGATTCAAAGATACTTGTGTAGTATTTTTGTGGATTAACATGTGCTGGTCATTTAGACACCAAATAACAGTCATATGAATAAAACATCTCTTGAATAGAAATTTAGCAAAAAAAAATTATTTCAAGGTATACTGTACATTGAACAGAATGATGAAAACAGGAAATGGTATATGGCTTAGATATTTGGAGGAAATGCGTATGGAATGATTTTGCACATATTGCAGCCTTGTCCCCATGTTAAAACATTCTAGTAAGAGCCTGGAAGAACAACAGAGATAGCCCTACACACCCAGAAATCTTTATTCTCCACCAGCAGAATCTCAGCAAAGGTCTGAGAAATCTAGATGAGTAGTTCCTGCAGGGAGTTTTTGCAGTGGCCAGGAGGTCTATGCTAAGAAATGGAAACCAGCAAATAAGCTGAATGTTAAGAAAACCCGGATCCTAACTGGATGCTATAATAAATAATAGCAGCATGACTGAATTCACAAACTGGGAAAGGATTTGTTCAAAAGAAAAGACTGAGAATTTTGACATTGTTTCAAAGCTTTATGATTCATGATGCCCTTAATCAGATGTGTCTATTGACAAGTCTATATTATGTAACAAATGTCATCTGTTTCTTGGTTTAGACTTTGTTATATTGCCATGTACCTGTACCTTTTTCTTCCCAGATCTTTCTTCACCTCCCTCTCTGTTAATACTTATAAAAATATCCTTTTACTCCTTTAAAAGTCTTCTGTTTCTGTGAGTGAACAATCCCTGTACAGCCTGCACTGTCCATGATTTACTTTAATCTTTACCTTATTTTTATGCTCCCGACTTCTATTGTCCATTGTTATTTTGTTTGTAGTAAATTGTTTTCTGGGTGTTCCCCCTCTTTTCTTAGCTAACTCAAACATTCTGTCTTCTAGTTTACTGACCCTTTACTTAGCACAGACCTTTCATTTTCAGCCTGATAACCTAGTTACTTCCCGAATCCTGTCTTCCAAGAAATCAGGCCTCTCCCATGTTTAATTACTCACATCAAGCCAGACCTACAAGAAGTGCTGCACTTTACTGATCAACCCAGAGATTTGTGCAGATGGGACCAAGGGGAGATCAAAATTTGAATCCAGAAACAAATTTTATAAATCAACCCTATTTTTGCAAAGGCCCAAACAAAAATTCCAGTTTAGGAGGTTTTCAAAATCTCAATCTGGTCTCCCACCGACTTCACTGGGTATTGGATCAAGCCCTTAAAAATAACATATAAACAATTGGAAACAACATTAGAGCAGTGCTAAGATTTTTCATTCTGAATGTAAAGAGTATACATTTAAATTCAAAAGGAAATGGGAACAGATTAGAAATGGCCCATACCATTTATTTGTAATTTTGTAAAATTTGTAACAAAATCTCACTGTATTCAACTTTCATATTACAACCAAATACATATCACATTTCTTGGAGTGTTTTTTAATAATTCAGCTTTTTATGGAAGAATATGCAATCATTATTTCAAAATAATTTTAAACAGTGTGTATGTTAAAAAGTTTTACACCAAATATTAGTGAGCAAATTATCCGAGAAGAAAAAAATGTAAAAACACTAATTTAGCAAATTTTCTTTTTTCATATTTACTAACCAAGTGGGTTTGCAAGTTAAACTGGTGGAAATTGCTTACTGGAGCAGATTAATATGCAGCCTTGCCCCTAAGGAAACATTTTACAGAGATTCAAAAAGGCATCTATATAAAGTATAACCGCATTATTGTTTTATAAAAAGATCCAGAACACTAGAAGCTAACAGAAAATGAAGTAGTCATCTTGGGTAATATTCAGAAAATACACTATTTTTGCTTTGGTTTTGGGCCTCAGACATTTTCATGTTCAATATAGACACACCTGTCTTTATCTTCCAAATTACATAGTATGTACAATGGGGTGTTGGTGTTCCCCTTTAGGAAACTGACGTTGCAAAAAATAATGTAATATAGAACTTGAAAAGAAAAATGTGAAAAATAGAGCAAAAATATTGTCAACATTATGAAGTAGAAACATAATTACTATTTTAACATATACAAGAGATTTACATTTTGATAAAAAGAAGATTTTCTTCCAAGAGAAAGTTTAATTTATCTATTCTAAACAGAAAGGAATTCTTCTTTAAATTCCTGTAATATAAAACATACCTGTCACAATTAGGTCCTACTCTATTGATTAATTTTTCCATCGCCTCCTCAGTATCTCTCAGCTTTTCTTGTAGTTGCGTGAGCTCATAGTCAGCTGAAAAACAAACACAACCACTAGCAGCTCTGAAAACTTATTCCTCTGGTAGTATTACAGACTGGTTGTCTCAGCAAATACTGTATTAAGACAAAACTGGTTCTGAGGGATCTAAGAAGAGCAGATGAAAGCTCAGTCTCCATAGAATTATTGGAAACATTCTCTCTCTTTCACTTCTCCAGGCATAACAAAAGGAGTGCAGAGAGATTCCCAAAGGCACAGAGATGCACAGAAAGCACTTCTCAGAATGGCAAACAAGCAACCACTTGATATGCAGATTGAAATGATCTGACAGAAAAAAGCCACCCAATCTTACGTTCTAAAGGAAATTTAGTGATATGTTACCCTATTGTAAAGTCAACAGTTCTCATGGAATTTACCTCTTAAATTCCTGTGAATAAAGATTCAAAGCCACTAAAGTTAATACATTTTCTGCTGTCAGATACTGTCTGGCTCTTCATGGTATTCAAGGATATAGGGAGACAGCTCAAGGAGTTTACACCTGTGCACATGAGGCAGCCACAATCTGGGTGGGGGATACAGCCATGGCTCCAGCCTCCTGGCTAGCAGTAACCTGTCAAAGGTGTAGGCTGGACCACTTCTAAGGATGGTGGAGCTGCTAGTACAGCATACACTTCCCTAGTGCCCATAAGAGAATGGAGTGAGGGAGGGGAGGAAACATGCAGATGCCAGATACAGAAATTAATCAAGCCTGTACGGCACAGCCCTGCATGGGAAGCCACTTGCTGACTCTGAACTTTCTCTTCTTTCCCCCCTGACAACCCCAGTGCACTAGCAACTAGCTCTGTTGATTGGCACGTGTGCAGGAGGAAGATAAATGCACCATAAGCTCTCAGGCAGCAAGAAGGGAGCATTCTATCCATTTATTATATGTATTATGGTAACACCTAGAGGCCCCAACCAAGATTTGGTCCCCTGTACCATATATTGCACAAACATGTAATGAGAAACTGTCCCTTCTTCAAAGAGTTTAAAGTCAGGACCCGAATTCTGCCAAGACCCTGATTCTGCAAAGCATCTGTTTAATTTTATGCACAGAGAGTTCTCAAGCTTTTGCATGATTGAGGCCTAAATAGACAAGTAGATACAGGGTGGGAAGGTGAACAAAGGCAGAGAGAGGTAAAGTGAGATCCCAAGGTCATGGAGCAGGTTAATGGTAGAGCAAGGATTCAGGTCTCTTGAATCCCAGTCCAATGATCTATCCACTATGCTGCCTCCCCTCTGACTGTGATAGATTCTTTAATAGGGTGGCCAGGTGCCTGGTTTTCGACCAGAAAATGTGGATGAAAAGGGGACCGGACAACCAAAAGTCTGGTTACTGAGGGCGGGGGAGATGCCGGGTCATCACCTGCACCAGTCCCTACTCAGCTGGGGTCGCCTCCTACCTGTGTTGCGTGGCTGCAGCTCCCAGCCCCGGCTCCGCAGGCAAGTCCCTCCCAAGCCGGGGTGGGGGGGCCTCAGGGGAAGAGGTGGGGCCGGAATAAAGATGGTAGAAAACACAGTCAACAGATATTAATTATTCTATCACTAATTTCTATGATTCTATAAAACATCATGATGTACATTTATGTCATGATTATTACAACAATATTACCTGAACCCTGTGGTAACATTATCTTTTTAATACCCTATAAGGTATTTGTGTTTTCTATGAGACTCTAGCCAACTCAGTAAAATATATCTAAATTTTATTACAAATAACTGCTAATCTGAGTTTTAAAGTTAATGTATTAAATTATCCAACAAATGTGTATATTTAGAAATAGGCAGATTTGTTATTTCATTGGTATTGTGACCATCCAACTTGGAGGAAAAGAAACAAACGGCTGGGGGAGAAGGAGGGAAAGCTGGCCGCTTCCTTTACCTACAGGTATAAAACCTTTCAGCAATTTAAACAGTGTGACAATGGGAAGAGAATGTAACAGACAGCCTGGTAACTCCCCAGAACATACACATTAAGAAAAGGCATTTAGCTGTGAGAACTTTGCTTCTCAGCTGTTAGTATTATCCTAGATAGAAAGCTCTTTTTGGAGCTAGGTTCATTTTTTCTTTTTTTAATATTTGGCCTTTCAGCACTTTGGTCTGGTCTAAAACTCAATGAAGTCAGTGGAAACTCTCTTTGCTTTCAGTGATCTTTGGATCAGGCCCATACTCAGTAGTTAATGTTTGTTTAATGCTTTGAAGGTGTAAAGTGCTAGAAAATACCAGCGCTAACTATTATTATTACTAAACAGGCAAGGAAAAATATTTTATTTACTGGAACTCTAAATCATGAAGCTTACTTCTTTATATGTTTGATTGACAGGTTTCATAAGTGATCATTTTAGGGACTTGGCAAATTCCTTCCATGCTTAAGGAGAGACAGAAACTCCCCTTTCCATTGTTAGCCCCCCAGTCATGCAATTTGCTGAGTCTGTGTGGTGGGCCCCAATTGACTTTACTTTGCCCACATGTAATGACTTGCAGGATTAGGGCATTATGTTGCATAGTGCCACTTCAGAGCCACTTCAGGTGAACTGAGGATTTTGTACTTTGCAATGTGTATTTCACCTTTTTTCCCTTTGTAGATGGAGTGTCCTTATACTACTAATGAGCACTGGTAAAAAAAATGTTTTTAAAGCACCATGATATTAAGTTAAAACCAGCACTAAATTGTTTATTCAAGAAGAACAAAGAAAAGAGAACAGACACTCTTGTACTATGTTGTGTTGCTCCCACTCTTTGCACATTTCATCTTTTATTATAAACATGTCAATCCTTTAAAGGGTTTGATTTTAAACATTCACTTAGAAAGTGATGGAGCAGTAATTTGCTTTCAACATCTCCTCTCTCCCACAGCGACATAGAAGATAATGCTTGCTTCTGTATTTTCCTATTTGGCATTGGAGGTTCCAGAACAAATTCTGCGAAACAAATGGTTAAAAACTACTATCTAACATCAACTTTACATAGAACAGCAGATTTACAATGTATCCTGACGACAAAGACACTGTCCAACTGTATGGTTACGTGGGTAATTTTTAACCACCTGGGAAATAATACTTACTGATTTTCCTATTCATGTTTCCAGGTATAGGAGAAGGAGATTTCCGCTCCACTGTAGTGGTTTTTCCTTTGGAAGAGAGCTGTAAGTGGAAAAAAATTACTATTGTAGGAATTTACAGCAACAGCGGTGCAGAAGCCCCAAAGGCATCACACCGAGAAAAGGAGAGAAAGCTAAAATTATGCTAGAAACTAACCACAGAAAATACCACCAGAGTCAAAAAACAGACAGTGATCATGAAAGAAACTATGGAAACCTAGCTAACCAGAAACTGCTATGATGTATTTATAATGAATGATTTTTTTAACCAAAAATAAGGATTAACTGAAAAATATCACATTTACATTTAAAAAATGTGTACATTATTCTAAAGGGCCCAATCCTATAATCCGTCTGTACACAGAGACCCACTACTAAAAGGGGTTTTGTTTGGGCAAAGACTGGCCCTTGAAAATACTGGGGGGAAATTAATTCCAACCTATTTGCCTCTCTTTCTTTGGCAAAAGTTCTCTGGCATTTATGTATGTTTCTGGCTTTGCACTAACACTGTGACAGCAACACAGATGTCATCAGAATCTACCAAAAAGTGATACGCCCTTTAGTCACTCCTTTGCATCAGTATAAAGCTTGGATGCTGCTATCCAATATGCCCAGTCAGTATGCCTCTTTCCTGGCCTGCAGGAGCACTTCTGCCCTTCTTATCCTGGGACTCTCCTGAGCAGACACTACCAATTGTTCCGAGTCACTGGTCAGTTCCTGGTTCACCCCTTGTTCTACAGGGAGAAGCAATCTGCCCAAGCCCCTTACGCAGCAGAGATCAGTTTCTCCCCTGTGCAGGCTGACACATTGGGTGACTGGAATCAAGGCAATGTCCATTTCAGCTCACCTGGTCCCTGGCAATCTGGGCAGGAAAGGGTATAACAGTCCTGCAGAGGCTGCTCTTCCTCCCCCTTGCTGGAATCTGTGATGCAGGTAGCCCATACAGGGCACACTTTACACCCCCAGCTGGAAGATGTAGCATAAGCCTCCATTTTCCATGAGAGCAAATATTAGGCATTTCTGAGTAACAAGTATCCATAAAAAGTTCAAGCTATCTGAGAAGTGTTTAATCTGTGATTTTTTTAAAAACTTATCTTTGGGCCAGATCCTCAGCTAGGAGAACTCTAGTGAAGTTAATGAAGCTCCAATGATTTACACCAGCTAATGATGTTTTCCTTAAATAGTTAAAATAGAGTTAACTATTTCTCTCAGACTTTGTGGAGAAAAAAAGAATTGTAATCTAACCTAAAAATAGTGGGACCTAAATGATAGGAAGACCTTTGCTGCAATCTAAGGGTACATCTACACTGTAATAGCTAGGGCCGCATTGTCGAGTCCTCCTGCTATATTTAGCAAGCTAGTGTGGGTACATCTACACAAGCTGGATATTACACCCACAGCTGTAATGCAGGTACATCCTTAAATACCATGTTTGCTATTGTGAAAGCTATCATATATGCCCATTTGTCACTGTCCCACAAATTGCCGACTCACTAGTTTGTGTCCTTTTCTGAGCTGGGTGGAATGAAAAATATTTTTGTCTAAATGATTTTTTAAAACAAGCCCAAAGTTAGACTTTTTAGGAGATTTCACAGGTGCATCAGCGGCTTAAAAATAAATGTTTATTCTTACCTTAAACAGAATGTACAGTATGTATAACAGGATTCCAAATCCATAAATGGGTATGATCTGCCCCACCAGACCTCTCCCACTGCCGCCTCCTCCTCCACCACCCTTGGCCTTGGCAACTGCCTCTGCCAGGTGAGACCTTGGAAAATGGGCACCAGAAGACCGGTCATCGGGGGACATCTGGTGACGCATCATTGGTGGAAAACGACTTGTCTTCCCTGAAAAACAAGTTGAAGATTTTTCTTCCATTAATTTTATTTTTCTGTGTGGAAGTGAAATAGTAGTTTGCAGATTTGGCTTCACTTCTGTGTTCTTGTTTTAAAGCACCACATTTGCATCGATGAAAGGGTAGTGTGCTGAAGATAAAATGGTGGACAATCTTTCCAATAATTCACTATGTGCGGTATCGCCAAACATGTAATCATAATTTCTGTCCTCATGTTACAGATGGGGAAATAGAGGTGTGGATGTACAAAAAAGACTGAGATAAATAGATTGATAACTTGCCCAAGACCTTCGAGCAAGTCAAGGATTAGAACTAAGAAACTCTTACTCTTGGTTCTGTGCACTATAGGTCACTAAATATACATCTCTTTCCTGGGACAGGCCTAATTCTGTAGTAGAATCTGTTAGCACAGACACAGTGCCCATGTACTTAAAGGAACTCTGCAGGAATCCACGCTAGCAGATCCTGTTGCAGGATTGTGATGTTATTTAGCACAGTAAACTGTACTTGATTCTTTACAGCTCATGTAATAAATTAGTATTTATGATCTTATTTTAATTACTAACTTTTAATTCAAGAAAGGTGTTGGTTACACAAAGTATTTACTTACAAAAATATTAATGGAGAGATTGATAGATAGAAAGAGCAAGACAATGTAAGAGGGAAGTATTTTTGCAGGGGGTGGGTGTGGAATGAAGGGTATTTCACGGAATAAATTAATATTGCCACTGAATTAAGGGATGCTTGCCCCAGCATTCCACTGGGCCACACAGCACCTGGGGCCCTGAGTATAGGTTATGCATTACAGTGAGTAAAATGATTGCTTTAGAGGAAGTTACAGAAATAATTTTTTTAAACAAATTAAGCCCTTATTTTAAAAGTTGCTGACTGAGTAGCAGCTTTTCTTTTCCTTAGAGAGCTGGGGGGGAGGTGCGTGCCACTAACCAAAGAATTCTCAATCTAACACAGCTCAAACAGCTCTTTCAGAGTTACTATAGTCCATTTTACTGAATTATTAAAAGTGTACCTTGTAAGACATAATATCTTATTTACAAGAGTCTTGTAGATACAGCAGGAAGGTCTTGTAACAACAGGTTGCTATGGAAACAATTACGATGTCATACACAAAACACTATCACTTCAGGTGGGGAGTAAGTAGCAGGAGTGGGAAAACTCTTAGGAAACAGATCTCATATTCACTAAAATGCCCTTTGTAAAGGAGATCAGTTGCGGGTAGAGGGGACAGAAATATGTGACAGAACTGTTTTAAACTGATTATTTTTCTACCTTTTCCATGAAGCATCAACCACCCTTTAAAAACTTAAATTTACATAAAGAAATAAACTTAGAGGTAAAGGGACACGATCAACTTGAAATCTAGTTATTTACACAAAAGGAGTTGAAGTAGTTTCTGATATTACACCTGCCCCTGAGTTTCACTGCCAATTTTTGTAATTGCCAATATTTTCTTATTTCTTACTTTGTGAGGGAAAAAAACCCACACAAACAACAGAGGAAATTGACTACACAGGGGAAAGTGAAATGATGGAGTTCAAAGTGCTGTCAAATCCACAGTAAATAAAGGGAAATAGCGAAAGATTTTTGTCCGCCAACCTCTTTCAGCTCTAGTAAACTTTGGTGCCAAAAGTAGGAAAAACTGACAGAAGTGCAGTGATTTCCAAGGTCACCACATCTCTTTAAAAGCTGAAATTTCATTCAGCTCCCACCTACCTCAATGATTTAATCAAACAGCAAAAAGCACTAACAGCAACATGACTATAACGATGCATAATCTTTCTATGCAATAATATACAATCGTTTTCACTATGTAAAGTCTTATTGAAATCAGTGCACAAGTATTCCGTGTGTTGCAAAAGGAAGTCATAGAGCTTTGACCAAAAGTAATGAAAAGTAGTTTTAAAAAGCAATTTTCACAAATATGTAATATAAAACATTATTTCATATTTGGTATTAGTTGCTTATAAAAGACTGTGTTTCCATATTAAGCACTTGGTGGCATGACAGAGGGACAAATACAAACACATAAGTATGCAGTTGCCCATCTCAATGGGGAAAACAGATTTAAAATATCTTGATTTAAAAAAAAAATAAATGTGCATAGAGCCAATATTTCAGCCCAATGCCACGTGAAACAGTTCCCTAAAAAACCAGCTGATTGTGAAAATTACAACAAACCCCCTAAACGGGGGCTAGTATCAGTTTTCAGTGCTGTGTGTATGTGTGTCATGTGAATTTAGTGCTTGTAAAAGATGCCTGCTTGATAGTCCTAGAAAATGAAATCCTCTATCCACAGAACAGCTACAACGTACGCTCTTCCAGTGTGCACTTCCTCACACAGCTCTGCCAGTGGATGTAGTTCAGTTTCCATACTCAGTCACTCCTTGACCTCGCTGTGGAAGCTATCAACAAGGTTACTAATTAATACCATTGTACTGGGTTTTATGATATGGACAGTAATCCATGGACAACTGGACTGAGACCACCAGATTTCACAGAGGCTGCTGAGCATCCATCAGACAGTAAAAACTTAAATTCACTACTGTCCTGGGCTGGCTGCAAATTGACAATTGGCGAAGGGTTCCAGATTTCATTATCTGAAATGGGTCCTTCTGATTACACTAGTCACATGTTATTATTCACTATTTACATGTGACTTTAATTTCTCCTTTATGCCACCCAAGAGGGTGAATATTTATTATTATTTGTGTTGCCCCAACAATTTGCTAGATGATTTACAAAAAATAACGTACAAAAGATTGCTGCCCTGAGAGCTTGCAAATCCAAATAGATGGTGTGTGAAGATGACTATAAAGCAGCTCTGTGGATTGATACATCTTTTTAGCATACATCTTTTTAGTGCCACAACTTTGTCTGGATTAATTTTTAGCTTCTTTTACTCATTCAATACTACCCCTTATTTTGTACACTTTGTCAGGGTTCCTTTCTAAACTATCGTCTTAAAGCTCTCTTCAGATGGAAGTTCTTTATATCGCTAATATTTTTTGTTGTCTGTCATTGAACCCCTCCACTAGTTTTGCAACACCTGTTCTGAGAAAGGTGGTCTTTAGCCTGTGTAATGGTGTATCACTGGTTTATATAATGGGGTACTGTGGATGCAATTAGATGGTATTGGCCTCCGGGAGCTATCCCAGAGTGCTCGATTGTGACCACTCTGGACAGCACTCTCAACTCAGATGCACTGGCCAGGTAGACAGGAAAAAGCCCGCGAACTTTTGAATTTCAATTTCCTGTTTGGCCAGCGTGGCAAGCTGCAGGTGAGTGCAGAGCTCATCAGCAGAGGTGACCATGATGGAGTCCCAGAATCGCAAAAGAGCTCCAGCACGGACCGAACGGGAGGTACGGGATCTGATCACTGTATGGGGAGAGGAATCCGTACTATCAGAACTCCGTTCCAGTTTTCAAAATGCCAAAACATTTGGCAAAATCTCCCAGGGCATGAACGACAGAGGCCATAACAGGGACCCAAAGCAGTGCCCCGTGAAACTTAAGGAGCTGAGGCAAGCCTACCAGAAAATCATAGGGGCAAACGGCCACTCCGGGTCAGAGCCCCAAACAGGCCGCTTCTATGATGAGCTGCATGCCATTTTAGGGGGTTCAGCCACCACTACCCCAGCCGTGTTGTTTGACTCCTTCAACGGAGATGGAGGCAACATGGAAGCAGGTTTTGGGGACGAGGAAGATGATGATGATGAAGTTGTAGACAGCTCACAGCAAGCAAGCAGAGAAACCGGTTTTCCCGACAGCCAGGAACTGCTTCTCACCCTGGACTTGGAGCCAGTACCCCCCAAACCCACCCAAGGCTGCCTCCCGGACCCGCCAGGTGGAGAAGGGACCTCTGGTGAGTGTACCTTTTAAAATACTATACATGGTTTAAAAGTAAGCATGTTTAATTTGCCCTGGCATTCGTGGCTCTCCTGGATGTACTCCCAAAGCCTTTGCATAAGGTTTCTGGGGAGGGCAGCCTTATTCCACCCACCATGGTAGGAAACTTTACCACACCAGTAGCACGTACTCAGAAATCAATATAGAACAAAACATTGCAGTGTATGTTTGCTGGCATTCAAACAACATCCGTTCTTTATCTCTCTGTGTTATCCTCAGGAGAGTGATATCATTCATGGTCACCTGGTTGAAATAGGGTGCTTTTCTTAAGGGAACATTCAGAGGTGCCCATTCCTGCTGGGCTGTTTGCCTGTGGCTCAACAGAAATGTTCCCCGCTGTTAGCCACGGGGAGGGGGAAGGTGCTAGCCACACGCTGGGGGGAGGCAAATTGCGACCTTGGAACGAAAGCACATGTGCTGAGTATGTAATGTTAATAGCAAGGTTTACTGTGAAAGAGTGTATCCATTGTTCTACAAAATGTGTCTTTTTCAATACCACTGTCCCTTTTTTTTCTCCACCAGCTGCATGTGTTTCAAGGATCTCCTTCCCAGAGGCTAGCGAAGATTAGAAGGCCAAAAAAACCAACTCACGATGAAATGTTCTCTGAGCTCATGCTGTCCTCCCACACTGACAGAGCACAGACGAATGCGTGGAGACAGACAATGTCAGAGTGCAGGAAATCACAAAATGACCAGGAGGAGAGATGGAGAGTAAGTGGCGGGCTGAAGAGAGGGCTGAAGCTGAAAGGTGGCGGCAGTGTGATGAGAGGAGGCAGGATTCAATGCTGAGGCTGCTGGAGGATCAAACTAATACGCTCCAGCATATGGTTGAGCTGCAGGAAAGGCAGCTGGAGCACAGACCGCCGCTACAGCCCCTGTGTAACCAACTGCCCTCCTCCCCAAGTTCCATAGTCTCCTCACCCAGATGCCCAAGAATGCGGTGGGGGGGCCTCTGGCCACCCAGCCACTCCACCCCAGAAGATTGCCCAAAAAACAGAAGGCTGGCATTCAATAAGTTTTAAAGTTTCAAACTTTTAAAGTGCTGTGTGGCCTTGTCCTTCCCTCCTC